CAGAATAGAAACGATTAGTAGCTATAGTTAAGTGTAAGAAGACGGCTCAAGTAGATGGAGTTGTTGGCCGACGGACAGATATTGGCGCTTCGTCTCTCCCGTAATCAACCCTAACCCCGATTATCCTTCCGGGGAGGGACTAAGGAAAATTGCCAGGAGCGGGAGAGAGGAAGGAAGCGCCCCGTAGCGTAGCGAAGGGCCGCGCGACTGACGAACGAAGCGACGCCAGCAATTTTAGACGCTGGTAAGGGGCGCTAGATACTTGGTTAAACTTAGGTAGGATAGGGAAATTATTATTCGTGGAAAGCCTAGTTGTAGGGAAGCCGTATCTGGGGTGCAACTGATGCAACTGCGAGCTTTCTAGGTTACGAAACATATTTCTGCTGTTTCCTTTGCTGTCTACCCGCATTTCTTATACCTGTTTGGGATATGTAGGTAGTTATCTTGTTTCTCACTCACCATTTTCCTATTCAATTATGTCATAGGCTCACTTTAGAAGGTTAGTTGCCTTCTCGGTGGCTCTGGTGGGCGCCCCGAGCAATAAATCACGTACAGCACCCGAGTGCTCGCCGTGAGTCTTCTAATGACTGTTTGCTCGCATGTCTGTACACATGGGTCTGGACTAGGTTGCGGCTTCGGATGGGTCTCGGACGACCACTAGACACGTCCAGAGGGCTAATTGTTTTTGGGCACAAACTCTGTTGTATGATCAGTTCCCAATTAGATGGATTTAAATGCTAAATAGGATTACCGAATGGTACTGACAGTCGTTCGAAAGAAACCTAGTTTATACGGGTATCTTGTCTCACCAAACTTAAAGTCAAGTCATTACTGTCCCACGACTCCAACAATAGAAACACGAGGCACTACTTATGAAAGAGAAAAACCAAATAGAAGCGGTCATAGAATATCGGTAATCTATCCAGGTAATATTCCCAGGGCACGAGCTACCCGACCCACACACAGTTACCCGGACGACCACGCCCCCCTGAACCCCTGAGTGGAGGCAGGATGGCCGGCCCTACTGCTCCAGCCCGAAGGGGAAGAAGTGTGCTCGAGCAGTCCCGGCACTTACTCCCCACCCCGCCCCTCTCACCCCCGCCCTCCGACATAGAGGCTATCAAGAAGATGGTTGACGAGCTGGTGGGACTAGCAGACCCCCAGAAGAAAGGGACAGCCAGAGGCATGGGACAGAGCCTGCTAGCAGCCGTCCGGAAAATGTACGATGCGTCTCAGTCACAGACTGGGAACATCTCGCTTGCCAACCTCCGAAAGGTGGTGGCCGAGGAAGTGAAGGCAGCCGTTAATGGAGCCGGGACCCAGGACAAAAGAACCTGGGCCGCAGTGGCCGCTCACAGGGCTGTCCCCCCTCAGTTACAACCCAACACCCCGACAAAGATAGTGCCGACCTGCATAAATAAGGAGATCCTAGTCAGAGGCAGAGGAATGCCAGCCGACCTCGCGAAGCGCACCCCGCAAGAAACCATCCAGGCGGTCAACCAAGTGTCAGTCAGGAAGCGAGCAGTCGCAGCCCGAAGGCTCCCCAGCGGCGACACAATCGTCACATTCCAGAGCGTAGGGGCAAGAGACTGGCACTCGACGAACACCAACTGGGTCAAGGAGGCTTTTGGAGAGCAGGCCGAAGAGAGCAAGCGAACCTTTGCAGTGCTGCTGAAAGGCGTATGGAAGAAGAACCTCCAAGGGGTCACCGAGGAGGAGTTCGGAAAGGAGACTGGCCTCCGCACAGTCGATAAAGTGAAGTTTAGAGTGCCGAGACACAGGGAGGCGACCCGGGCAACGGTGCTGGTCGCTTTAACCTCCCAGGAGGAAGCACGCAAGGCGTGTGACGAGGGAGTGATCTGGAGGGCTCAGCTACTGGACTGCGAGCCTTACTGGGCTGCCCTCAGTCCAACACAGTGCTACAAGTGCTGGAAGTGGGGGCACACGCAGCACTATTGTAAGGCGACTCCATTGTGCCCGCGTTGCGGGGACAAAGGCCCATGGAGAGGGCGGCAGGGAAGGCGAGGCCCAGTGCCCTACTCACAAAAAACGAAATTCCGATACGGTGCCCGGCCTGCGGAGGAAGACATCCGGCGTGGTCAGGAGAGTGCCCGGAGAAGTCGAAGGTCCTCGCGAAGGCCAAGGAGGCCTACCAATTCCGACCACGGACATACGAGACCGCAACCACGATCCCTGCCATCGCGACTCACACGAGCGCCCCCACGTTCAGCTTCGGCGCTGAAGAGAGGGAGGACGACAGCTACCAGGTGGTAGGCAGGAAGAGGCTGAGAGGAAGACCGACGAATGTGGCTGCAGCCCAACGTCAGGCTCTCTTAGACCCCCAGCAGACCAGGATCAACTTCGAGGCGCCGAGGGTGCGATTCGCAAGCCCGGTAGTCAGCGGTGTCGACACCACCGCCCTGCCGCCCCGAGCGCCCGAGCCGGCTACCGGACCAACGCCTACCGCCGCCGCCAACCCTGCGGTCACTGCCACTCCGGACCAAACGAGACGCCGAGGGAGACACCACGATGGACTCGATCACCGTCGCAGGCGATGAAAATTAAAATTTTACTCTGGAACACCGAAGGAAACAAGCAAACACTGGAAGTCTTGCTGGAAGAGGCCAAATATGACCTCTTGGCGGTGCAAGAACCGTGGATCAACAAGGCGACAAAATCCACATACTGCCCCCGGAGCAGCAGATACCACCTGGTACATAAGCTCGAGGGGCGGGCGGCAATATATGTAAGCAAAAGATTTGAAATCAGGCAGTGGGACTCCGAAGCCACGGAGAATTGGTGCCGCGTGTGGTTCCCAGAGGCGGACCTCGGAGGGGAAAGCCGCGGATTCGAGCTTTGGTCCGTATACAACCCCCCCGCCGGCGAGAACGTACCGAGAGCCCTCCAAGGGCGGCCAAGACCAAGCCACCCGGTGGTTTTGGCAGGAGACTTCAACCTAAAGAACCCACTGTGGGACGGGTTCGGACGCTACGACAGGAAATCTGAAGACCTATTGCAGCTGGGTTCCCTGTGGGACCTCACCATCAGGACTCCAAGGGGAGCGACAACGCGAGCTCCCCAGGGGCGACAGCGAGGCCGCCCGTCAACCATCGACCACTTCTGGACTTCGGAAAACCTCCAAACAGTATACTACGGGGAAGAGTGTCGTGGAAAGTCAGACCACTACCCACAAGTGCTCGAGGTCGGGGAAGGGCATGGGCCGAGGCCAACCCAACCGGATGGCTGGGCCTGGAAGAAGATGGACAGGGAGAGGGTGAAGGCTGAATCAGAGTTGCTATGCAAGGTCATGGGGCTCGCGGACCCGGGACCGGACGGACTACCGGCCAAAACCCGGACAGTCGAGGGTCTTGACAAAGCTTTCGATAGTCTGGTCGAGTGGCTCACCTGGGTCGCGAAGGAAAGCACTCCACGGAAGAAGGCGAGCTGCGGCTACAGCTCCCCCTGGTGGACTGTGGAAGTGCAGCAGGCCGCCCGGGAGGCCAGAAGGGCCGAGAGGCTGGCGAAGGAGACCCGGGCAGAGTACTGCTGGGAGGAGCTTAGCGAAAGACTCAAGGACCTTGCTAGAACAACGCGCGAAGCGCGGACTAGGGCTTGGAGGAACAGCCTACAGGAAGCAAGCGAGGCAAAGAAGCCCGATCAGATGTGGAGCTTGGAAAGATGGGCTAGGTTGCGGAGCTTTTTGCCGCCAGAACCACCGAGGCTGCCGGAATTTAAGGACTCTTCCGGACAGGTAACGGCCGAAACGCACGACCAGAAGGCCAGCGCGCTGGCTGAGAGGTTCTTCCCGGACCCACCGGCCAACCTGACGGACGTGGAAGACCAAGCCTTTTTGGGCAGCTGGAACCCGGGCTTCGACGTCGTACAGGCAGTGACGCCGATCGAGATCACGGAGGCGATGGGAAGAGCAAGCCCCTGGAAGGCGCCAGGCGAGGATTTGCTCCCGATGGGCCTTCTGAAGGCGTGCGGAGCACCGTTAGCTGAAGTGCTGGCCCTTCTGGCGACAAGGTGCCTGGAGCTAGCATGGTTCCCGAGCCGTTTCAAGAGGGCGAAGACTGTAGTACTACCGAAACCAGGAAAGGCTCCGCCGGCGTATCAGACCCCGGGGGGATACAGGCCCATTGCTCTGTTGCCAACCCTGGGGAAGGTAATAGAGTCAGTGGTCGCCAGGAAGGTCACTCAAGCTGCAGAAGTCAACGGCCTCCTACCAGATGAACAAATGGGGAACAGGGCACACCGCTCTACAGAGCTGGCTGTCCGGCTAGTAGTAGCTCAGGTCCAGGAGGCGTGGAGACAGAAGGGTGCGGCATCCCTATTGCAACTGGACATCTCAGGAGCCTTTGACACGGTCAACCATACCCGACTGCTAGCAACTTTGCGAGAAATGGGCTTCCCGAGGTGGCTGGTCCTCTGGACGAGAGATTGGTTGACCGGTCGAGAGGCCACCCTTCTTTTCGACGGCAAGACGGCGGCGCCGACGGCAATTCGGGCAGGGGTCCCCCAAGGCTCACCCCTTTCCCCTGTTCTCTTCATCCTCTACATTTCCTCATTATACAGGCAGCTAAAAGACGAGCACCCTCACTTGGCTATAACAGGGTTTGCGGATGACACCAACCTTCTAGTATTTGGTCGAAACCCCGAAGCCCATGTCCGGCAACTAGAGGCGGCGTGGGAAACGTGTATACGATGGGCGGACAGTCGGGGGATGAAGTTCGCCCCGGAAAAGAGCGAACTGATCCATTTCAACAAAGGGCGACGGCAGTGGACCGAACAAGTAAACCTTGCCAACCCAGGGGGAGGCACCAGCCCCGTTAAACCAGAAGGGTCTGCCAGGTTCCTGGGAGTCTGGTTGGACTGGAAACTCAACTGGAAGGCCCACCTGGTGGCGGTGGAGAAGAAGCTGAGGACCCAGAGCTATGCCCTGTCGAGGATCGTGGCAAAGACATGGGGGATGGGGCTAGCCAAAGCGCGAGAAGTGTACACAAAGTGCATCCGGTCGGCGCTGGCCTATGGCGCATCATCGTTTCACATCCCCACGGATGTGGGAGGCGAGCCGGCAAAGAAAGGCATCACTAAGGCCCTCGGGAAGGCCCAGAACAAGAGCTTGCGGATTGTGGCGGGAGCCTTTAAGTCTACCCCCATCCGTAACCTCGAGACAGAGACATGGGTACCACCATTGGACTTGTACCTAAACAAACGGCTTGCAGATTTCGAAAACCGACTCCAACGACCCGATCTGGACGACGGTCGAGGCGGCAAGAAGACGGCGGCGAGCGTTGTCCTCACCGCCTGCCGCAAGATACAGCAGAGACTTAGCTCGAGGAGGGGCAACAAGGGCCGACCGCGAACCTTGGGACCTCAAGGGCCTACGGCGGTGGAGAGAGCCGCGGGAACGGTCATGCGCTGGACGGGGGGAACCGTTGATACGAACAGGGTAGTAGAAGAGGCTTGGAAAGCGAGGTGGTTAAAGGAACGGGACGGCAGGGCAATCACCAGGCCGGCGGACGACTTTGACCATCAGCAGGAGACGCTATTCCGGAACGAAACCCTGAGGAGGCACGACGGTCTCAGCAAGGCAAAGAGCTCACTGCTGATTCAAATCCGGACGGGAGCAATAGGCTTACGGGACTTCTTGTTTACACGGGGAGTCCCGGAGGTTCTGACTCCTGCCTGCGAGTGTGGCGAGGGACGAGAGACTGCCGAACACCTGGTAGTGTGGTGTTTGGCCCCACCGTTGACTAGAAGATGGGAGAGAACTGGAATTCGGACACGACGGGACTTTTACTCTGTTCTACACGGCATCAATCCCACGACTGCACGGCTCGCGAGGAGAGTTCTCGACTGGCTGATGGACTCGGGGAAGCTGCCGATGTACAACTTAGCCAGGAGGCTCGAGCTGGAAGCGGCGGCCTGAAGCGCCCCCGTTCGGAGGCCAGGAGGCCTCCTCTCTTTGTATATGTGGGCTCACTAAAACGCATCGCTCCTTGATTGTTGGTATGGGTTTTTCACCCGGCCCGGGAGGGCATGGTTTTCCTGTACATTAAATAGCTGAGGGTCCGGCACGCCCTAGGGCATAGCGGAGTATGAATAATAATAATATTCCCAGGGCTATCATGAATCGTCTGCACCATCGCATCACGTGATAAATAACATGCCCCACAGTATCTTGTCGTGGGACTGTGATTTTCGCTTGCGGCTTGTCACTCCGGCCGCGATCTACCAGACATCACCAACAATTGCGCCGTTGATTTGCCCACCATGCAGCCGACACGATGTCTGCTCAAGCGGTCGGTATGGAAAGGTAATGTGGTGTCTTCATTTGTTTCCCTTTTCCTCTCCCCGCCGCTCAAGTGTATGTGTCTCTGGTTTGGTTATTGCTAGCTTCACAACTAACTGCATCGTCTCCAGGACCGCACATCGTTCCGTAAGAGCACCCTCCTCATTTCGGCCGGAATCATACCTCCCAACAAACCTACAACCTCCTGCTCTCAATACTTTTCAGCCCCGCACCGCCGTCCGGCCACTCGACTGCCCAGACGCTCTAACCATTTGCCCTTGCCCAGACTCCCAATCGTGCGCCCTGAACCAGGAAAGAGGGTCGCGCCCATTCGGACACAGGCGAGGTCAGCAACCATCTTGCCCAACTTTGTCGGCCTCAAGTTCCAGGTGCACAACGGCAAGGTCTACCATGACGTGACCATTACCGAGGAGATGGTGGGCCATAAGCTCGGCGAATTCTCTCCGTATGTTATACCTGTCTCACTCTCCGGGAGCTTCCCAAGGACAGAGAGCACTAGCTGACACAGTAGGCGATAGGACGCGAAAGACCTTTGTATGGGACAGGAAATAAGGCGACCCCGTATGACGGCAAGAGTCAAGGCGTCCTGACTTTAAGGACACTGGCATTCGCGGCGTGATGTACAACGCGTGTAACGATTAGAGACGAGGAGGCGAGCACCTGCGCTTGAAGCGGAACGCTCAACGCCCACCACCGAAATAAGAAGAGAGATGCTACCGGCAGCCGGCGAGGATAAACCTGAGACTGGCGGCCAGGAAGAAGGCGTCCAGCTAGACACGAGGGTCAATCGAGAGGTCGAGAGTACGATTTAATGAGCAAGGCAAATTATACGGAGTGCTCTACTTGCGTCAAGACCGCGGGTTATTGGAACCGAACGATGCCGACCAACGCCAACCAACGCCATTATTGTTCTCGTTGCATAACCCTGCAAGAATCTCCCATATGACCGGTCCAAGATGAAAAAAAAAGCAGAAAACAATGTTGCCCCAGATTGGCCAACTGGGTACCTGACCACCCATCGATGCCAATGTAGTTGTCCTCGTCGAAAAAACGTAGACACCGCTATAAGGAGGGAGCTCCGTGTGTCAACTTTAGCGGTAGAACTCGCTCCGCTTGACATTGACACCAAACTCGCCTACGGCCATGCCCAGGTCCTCCATCGTCAGCACCGTGCGATTTTGGCTCCCGCCTTGCCCGCCACCGCCATAGCCAGGCCGCTGGATGCCCAGTGGTCCACCTCGACCTTGATCTTTGTTACCGGGCTGGTTGGTTGGTTGTCCGGGGATGGGAAACCCGGCGGCGGCGCCTAGGTTGCCCATTGGGTTATTGGCATTGGTGTTGCTCGCACGGATCCGGCTGTATTGGTAGGCGTCGGCGGCGATGTCGGCGATGAACTTTTGTGTCGCCAGGGCTAGCAGCCGCGCGAGGCGCTGGTCGGTCTGTGGCGGCGGCGGGAGGCCGGCTCGTGTCATATAGTAGTTGGTGACTGCGTCAGGGATCTGTGGGTACCCCTTTCGTTAGCATAGGTTTGGATGATATCAAAAATAATACATACTATCGGCGCATAATCGTCCATCTTGTTGAGAAATTCCTTGAGCGACGCATCTTTCCGTGTCGGCAACTTGGGTTCTGTAACAGTTGGCGCCGGCGCGTCGTCAGCGTTTACTTCGGTGGCCTCGCTTGGCTGCGCGCCGTTTGGATTCGCGGCCGTAGCCGTCATTTGTTCTGCGTTGTCCATCGATGGATTGGTTGCCATTGTTAGGGATGTGATAAGGTTTGCAGGTTTATGTTCTGGACTCGCAGGATGGTGATGCAGCAGGTCAGAAGTTCAAGGTGGGGCGGATGGTGCGAAGGGGTGTTCACGTGATATGGAGACCAGGTCGGAGGGAGTTTGGCTATTCCCAGCTTTCATAATCGCCCGACCCTCAATGCTGCCGTTGGGGTGATTATGGACTCGGGAGTTCCATTTGCCGTACTTTGTATATTGCACTGCCTATTCGGACGGGTGGCCAAGCGGGCTGCCATCACGGTAGCGGGGACCTTGCTGACCGAGACGTTATCTCAAACCTCAGACCAATAGATCACTAACAAAACGAGCATTCATAACGTTTACGAGGGTCCGTTTTGGGTGTGGAAAGTATTGTATACCTGCAAAGCTCATGGATCGGTAACTATTTGCCCACTTGCTACTCCGGCATTCGCTCCAGTTCATTCCAAAAACCTCGTTTACCTTCGCCGGGTTCGTGTGGCCGGCATTGACTCGAAGGCGTCATCCTCTGAAATTTCGTCGTCGCTGATTTCAACGGGCTTCTGCAGCGTCTTGGGCTTTTGGGTTTGTGAGAAATTGAGGGTCGTTTGCCGGGGTCTGGCAGCACTACCACGGCTTCGAGTAGATCTCGCCGCTGTTTTTGTAGGTGGTTCTGGTTCCACATCATCTTCCATAATGACATCTTCCTCTTCCACCACCTCCTCCTCCTCCTCTTCACTGTCTTGGAACGGATTCGCTTTCTTCCGACCCCGTGCCGGAGCCTTCCTCGGAGCGGCCGCCTTCTTGGCTGGCGCTGCCTTCTTGGCTGGGACCGTCTTCTTCGTGGATTTTGTTGCTTTTGCTGTCACCCGTTTGACTGGTGCTTTCATCGTGGGAGGCTCATCGTCCGGTAGCTCTTCGTCGTCATCGCTAAACGCAGCGCCTCGTGTGCGTCTGCGTTCGTTGACTGGTTCTGGGGACGCTGGCACTTCCTCAATAGCCCCTGGTTGCGCTGTCCAGTGACCGTCCAAGTCGGAATCCCAACCGTCAGGCTTCTCCTTGAACCGCTTCTTGCGCTGGGCCTGTTTCCGCCGTCCCGAAACGAAGCTTTTCTCCATAACCTTTCGAAAATCGTCGATATGAGCGTCAAGGCCTTCGGTGATCCTGTCGTCGTCGAGCTGCAGCAAGCCCTTGACTTGAGATGAGAGTGAATCTATAACAAACATTTCAACCGCGTGCTTGTCGTCCTTGCTGACGAACTGGTTGACGGCGTCCCCAAACGGTGCTTGTGGGAGGATCTTGAGCGATTGTTGGGCAAAGAATTCCTGCACTAGCGTGTCGACTTTGATGGTGTCTACGGATTCGAGAGCTTCTGTCACGCCGCTCGAAAGTGTATTTCCACCCTTGGCTTTCCCTGGAGGCAGTAGTGTCAGCACTTTTGTCTCACGGCCTCGAAGGGAGATTGTACTGACTCGAGACTCCCATTTTCTTTCGGTAAAAGTACACAACATCGTTTTGGTTCGCTACTTTCCCCGCGAACCTGTTGGAGAACCGCTGCGGATTCTCGACCTCGTATTTCGATCCTTCCGGGGCCGTATATTCCACCTTGAGTCGAATTAGGGGCAATGGCTGTCCCTCATCTTCGTCCTCTTGAACCTCGCCTTCGTGGTGGATGGACCGCCATTTAGCGTTGGCCTCCTCGATCATCTCATCCACAATGAGCATGAGCCGTTTTGTGATGTCTTGACGATTATCTTGTTTCTTTTCCAGTCCCTTGAAACGCTTATCATTTGCTAGCGTGATTTCTTGGGTGACGAATGGTCGAACAGTCTTCAATGGAATCTTGTCCACCTCGAATGACTTGCCAGTTATGCTGAGAATTGCGACCTGTTTGGTCACGGCCTCCCCGGGCACAAGGGATGTCGCCACCGACGAGCCAGGTTGCATGACATGGAAGCCGGTCTCTGAATTCCGCTGGGGGTCAATGAGACATTCATGTTCGTGGCCCCATAACACGAGGTCCAAGAAATCTGGCAGCATGTTCTCGGGAAGATAGCTGGTTGGCGTATGTGCGTAGTGGTTCTGGTGGACCGCCAAGAGGTTGAAGAAATCGTTTTTCTGCTGGCCCGGTCGGTAAAACTTGACCTTGTTATCCCTAAATGTGCGGTGCATGCGCTCGTCGCGTACGTTGCTTAGCCCGTAGAGGGCCAGCTTCGTTTTCCCTTTTTGGAGGAGGATAGGTTTGACCTGAATATTGTCTGCCTCGGGAACGCGCCCAAAGTAGTTGACCAATCCTGCTACCTGGAGGAGGTCAAGCGAGCAATAGTGGCCGTCGCCGCTTGGATCGTCATGGTTTCCATGGATGGAAAAAACAGGCGTGGATATGTTAATGTCGGGGTCCTGGTAGTTGACATGGGGAAACGCTCCCTCGAACACCTCGGCGGCGTCGCTCAGGAATTCGAGCTCGCAGGGTTTCATTCCAAGACAGTTCTTCCGAAGAGAACGCATGACTTGGTACATGGACTTGCGTGACGGCTTGTTGTCGTGAAACAGGTCACCGCCGAGGAGAACCATGTCGACATCGCGAGTGCGGGCGAGCTGCATGATTTCATCGAATGTGCGCCAACTGTCATCCTTGCGGATAGGGTCTCGCTCCTCAAATCCGACATGGTTATCCGTTGAAACCAAGATACGGATCGTATCCGAGTCTGTGACGGAACGCTAGAGTTAGAGCGAGCTCCGACGTTGGGTTGGGACGTCGCAAGAAACGATGGTTGCCAGGGCGCAACGGGGGACACCTACCGGAATCCTGTGGCATCTTGCAGGACACAAAAGTCGACCATATAATGCAAAGTCTGATCTTGGTAGGGCTGTTGGGGTTCGTTGGCCAGGTGGTGTTGTCGGCGGGGTGGTGTGGAGCTACGACGCGTTGCTGGCGTCGCGACAGAAGCACGCGGTCACATGGGCACAGTTACGGAGTCAAGGAATCGTTATAGCGGTCAAAAGTGGCAGAAATTCGCCGGTGGATGGTATGCGGAAAGACCGATCTTGGCGTTCTCGGGGTGATAAGAGGATCTGTCTGCTCAACGTTCCCGAGACTTAAAAAAACGTACCTTTTACGAAACGAAACTCTTCTTTTACCGTCATATCTGCTTGATCCTCTATTTTAAGGTGAACTTCACACAGAGAGATCAGTGCAGCATATCAACTGTTGTGCTTCGCCATGCCCCGTTGTAAGTAATGACCCTAACGATCTGAAACGAACTGCTGTTCTGTACACATATCTCTCGCTTTGACGTCGGACTGCTTGTACTGTGATTCATTATCCGGCATCTATTCGGCTGCTGCTTCACCTACCCCCCAAATTTTACCGCCATTCAAATCTATATTCGAAGCCACCACTTCTCTTAGCCTGATGCCGTCTGCTTTCGATTGCGCCGGCCGTAGGCCATGGTTCTGTCACGGAACTTTACTCCTCCGGTGGCCTTCGGTTTCCAGAACGCACCCTCTCACGCTGCGCCTCTTGTCCCCCATTTCACTGCTGCGATGGGCACCGTGCTGCTTCACTGGGGCAGTCCTATTGGATTGTGGGGCGTTAGCCGGACCTTGATGAAAGGCTCTAACACTCGTCATGGGTTGCGCAGGCTGGAGCTCCGCTGTCTCTTCTCAAAAAGATAGCTATTGACCTTGGGGAACGCCCAACTTGACGTGCACAATTTTAACGACGGGACGGCACTGGCTAACCTTTTCCCCATTCAGCGGCGACGACTGACCACGACTTTCCGAATGACGATGACACCCATTTTGCGGGCGGGGCTTATGAACACGGCGAAATAAGCGACGAGGAGTTGATGGAGGGCATCGGAGAAGGTGACGATGAGATGCTTGGAGATGCCGTAACCGAAGACCCTGGGGACGAGATGAGCGATGGCAATGACGAGGATCTCCATTCTGGGGACGAAATGGACGATGATCCCTTTAGTCCTACAGAATTGGGTTTGAAGGAGATCAACAATCTTGCCCACTTCGGCGTCAGCAGCCATCGCCCCGGAAACGGTGTCGCCGAATTGCTGAGCGATGACCTTGATAAGTACTGGCAGTATGTGTCACCTTACCTACCGAAGTCTCTTAGGACCTGCTTATTTACCAGTAGTGGTTAGGTCCGATGGTCAGCAGCCGCACCTACTCACCATTCACTTTTTACGCCGTGTTGAGATTCGGGCAATTCGTTTTTACGTCGACTATAACCAGGACGAGTCCTACACACCGACTCACATTGTCTTCTACGCCGGGACTGGCCACCATGATTTGATCCAGTTCGCAGAAACCCCGCTTACCAACCCCGCAGGGTGGCAGGATGTTCCTATTGCAGACAGCGGCGGAGGTGCGGACGGCCATTCACTGTGCTGCTGGATGGTGCAAATGCACATTAAAGAAAACCATCAGAACGGGAAAGATACTCACATTCGCGGCATCAAGGTCTATGCCCTGGACGATCACTCGCTGGGCAGCACCGCTCGCGAGCCGACACGCGGCTCGAGAGTCGGTGTGGAAGACGACCACGCCCGCGGACGGACAACACAAGGGCTAGACGACCAGTCTCTACAAGAGCTTTTGGACGCATTTGAACGGCACCCAATAACCCCATCCAACTTTGACACCGTGCGCGAGCCGACTATCCGTTGAAGCGAGACTCTGGGGAGAGGATTATAACCCGACTGGGGCCGTGGTAGGTATGACATCTAGCGGCACTCGGCGACACGAGTGGCGGTAAACACTTATCTTCTTGTTGAGACGGGCATGTGATATGCGCATCGTGCTTGGGGAGCGGGAGCAGGGGTCCTGGGTGATTGTGCATGGTCGTCCTGGCGTTAAGGAATGATACTTATGGTGGATAGTTGTTGGGTTTAAGAGATTTCCATGATACCCATTGTTAAACGGCGTTCATTAACGGTGTTTTTGAGCCGGGGCAGTTGTAACATCCACACCATCAAGTTGTAGAATTTACACTGCTTGTTTTAATACGATTTCCCTGGTAGTTGTCGTGGAGGTGGTGTACTGATAAGAAGCACTTCACCCTCTCCATCTATACGGAGCTCCTCACCTTCCACCCCCATAGCTCGTGATGGCGTCTCGCGGTAGATCCTGCTGTGGTCCAAGGGCCGCTCAAACATCAGCCCGCCGAGTGTCTTCACCCGCGAGACGGCCACGTAGGAGAGGCCAGAAGCAAACTCTGGCGCAGAGATATCGCAGACGACCTTGTCCAGGGTGATGCCCTGTGACTTGTGGACGGTGATCGCATAGCTGACCCACAGCGGGAACTGGTCTCTCGAACATGAGTTGGCGCCGACCATGAAGTCCTGCCGCACTTGGAGGACGGGAACGGCCAGTTTCCCTCCACTACGGAGCGGCTCCCGTTCGGCATCGTGAAGGCCGGGCCGCCGTAGTCATCGAAGGCCACCATGATGACCTCGGGCGGGTCTCGCAGCACCCCGGCACCTTCTTTCCAGGATATGTCGTAGACTGTCCCCTGTGCGCCGTTGACGAGCCCGACGTCGGCCCACAAATTCCGCGTTAGTATCACCCTGCAATCAACACACAAGGGCAAGCGCTTGGCCAAGTTGCCGGCATTTGAGGATTCAACCTTCTCCGCACCAACACCCTCATGCTTTGCCTCGACCTGAATGGCGGGGCTGTCCAGGCCAAGCATGTGTTGGTGGTTGTACTCGACGACCTGGGCCTTGGTGGGATAGATGCGAAGCGCATCGGCAAAGCTGTCAACCTCCTCGGGAGAGAGCTTGACAGAGCATCTCGAAGCGAGGAGCTCCCAGGAGGGTACCGACACATCAGCCTTTCGCAGTTCTTCCAAGGCCCGCCGGAAAGGAGCCTGGTCTTCGCCCTGCTGCCGCTGTATTGTGGTCAGGAACACGGACTTGTCGAACGAGAGGTACGCGTTGCGCCCGACCATCTCGATATCCTTCAGGTCGTCGCGCGTTGAGTACAGCGGCTTGTTCAGAACAGGGGGAAGCTGGAAGAAGTCCCCGATCAGGATGACGCTAAGGCCGCCGAAGAACTCGTCGCGATTCTCCGGGAACACCTCTCGTAGGTGCTGGTCGATCCACGCGAGGGTCTTGAGGCCGAGCATGCTCTTCTCGTCAATCACGAGGTAGTGGATGCCCCTGAACCGCCGCTGCAAGGCGTTGAGGGTCGTCGGGGTCTCGGAGAGCGAGCGGTAATTGCCGTCGACGGGGAGCCGCAGCAGGGAATGCAAAGTCTGTCCCCCGATCTGGTTGCTCGCCACGCCCGTCGAAGCTGCTCTAACGACGGGGGAGGGTCGGCCATAGGAAGCCGCCTTAGCCTGAAGGTGAGAAGATATCACCTTCACCATATACGACTTGCCAGTCCCACCTTCTCCATCGATCTGCAGCCGGAGGGGCGGAGGCCGACGGTTCTCGTTCTTCGCCCTGAAGTGGCGCATGATCGTGTCGTATACCTGACGCTGCTGCGTGTTCACCGTATCACGGGCTGTGAGAGGCATATCTTCCACGTCGTAATTGCCTGGAGTCTCTCCGCGAAGCTGCGCCTAGTAGCACCCAGTAATGAACTCCTCGTGATAATAGCGGCCGACGTGTCGCGCCCAGTCGTAGTTGACATCCAGGTCTCGGCGGCCAAGCAAGTCGGCCCGTTCATCGGGAAGCTCAATGTCGGGGACCAACCGCGCTACCTCCTGCCAGTCCTCAAGGGTAATGTCCCCGGCGTCCCCCTTTGGCTCAAACTCCTCCTCATCTGGAGACGGATCAGGCTCGTCAACCGTGCCGTAGTGGTCGTCCGGGTGGTCGTGATGCTCAAGGCAGTAGCGATAGGCAGATGCGTGGTTGTCGAACTGTCGATCATCAACCTGGGACAGATCTTCCGTCTGGCGGTGGGGATGGCTGAGCAGCAGCTTGACCCGGCAGAAGTCGGAGTACTGCTGATGTGAGCGAACTGGCTTGTACCGGGGGTAATAGTACAACACCCTGGGCAGTGCGGGAGCCTGCCAAATCGCCCATCTCACCGGATTCCGCGCCTTGAAATTCCAATTTTGTAGGAACTCGAAGTAGGAGACATCCTCCATATGATCGGGCCGTCGGAGATACTTCTCGTAGACTGTCCGAGACTCTTCAATATCGCCATCCGCCGTGATGTCAATTGCACGAGCGTGTCTCTCGCGGGGCCTACAGTCAACGCTCTGCACCACTCGGCTGTCCTCTTGCAGAGGGAGTCCCAGGAGGATATGACAGATCTCCTGCGCAGAGTAGTCCCTCTCTCCGATTAGTTTATTCATCATCTTTGACACAAAAGAAATCATCGGGTTGTTGTCTGATATGTGGGGAAGGATACTCTGGGCAATCTGCGCATATGTGCTGGTCTGGGTCTCGGACTTGCTGCAATACTTCGCAGCATGGTTGATAACAGCCTCCGCACTCGTGCAGGGTGAGCAGTCCGTATTGGCCAGCCAGCAAAGAGAGAGAAGTGGGTTGTACTGGTTCAGGTGGGTATCGTTGCGCTCGGCTTCGAACGACCACCAGCCCTTTCCGGCCATCTCGATGACCTCGGCCGCCCCCCGTACAGGCCGGGGGAAGAGAAACCGACACGTGGGCTCTGGCGCCGGCCGTTCTTCACCGACAATCTCCCCGGCCGCCTCTCTGGCCCGTTGGGCATCTTCCTTCGTCACCCGCAGACAGTAGGTCGACGAGCAATGGTGTCGCTGACAGCGGTTGACGATTCTGTTCAGCCACTCCCAGGTAACGGGCGTCTCCAGAGGGTCAACAGACAGAGGGTTACCCTCGTCAGCGCCCTGCTCTTGCTGCGGACTGACTGCTGTAACGTGATATCCCCAGATCCTTGCGAAGCGCTCTCTCGCCTCGGGGGTTGCCATATCAGGAGCAGGGCTCCCATGGAACCAGTAGAGCCCATGAGAATGACTACTGCCGCGGCCTTGCCACTCGTACCGGTACCAAAAGTCGGGCACATTGAACTTTTTCTTCAGCACAATCTTCCTGCAAAGCGAGTTCCGCGAGTGGAAGTGCCAGGCCGCGATATGCGGGTTCTCCCGCAACAGCCGGCGGGACTTGGCCATGCGTCTCGGTTCATCAAGCGCCTTCCACTCCTCGTACTCGGGCATGTGCTGGTAGAGGCTCTGCCAGTGCAGGTCGGCTGGGCTCAGTGTGATGAAAGCAGAGGGGACACCAAGACAGTGCGCAAAAGACTTGCACTCGCGACGTCGGCGGTACCAAAAGGGGCGTGTGTCTTTGATGACACCAGCATAGCGAGAGATCCGGTTGAGGATGGCCTGGGCCTCTGGCGTGTCCGGATCGGCAAGCGCCTCCTGCAGCGCCTCCTTCGTAAGAGGCGTTCGGTGGTTCTTGCTGACGTAGAATCGGCTATGACCCCTCGCCTGCTGCCTCATCAGAGTGTTTAGCGCGATAAATCGGAAGCTGTGGTGTTTGGCAAATCGGCCATCCTCCCATTTCATGGCATGCTGGATGTAATTTTAGCAGGAGATCTTGCGCTGTCTGGGCTCGACAAAATCCGCAACTCCCCGAGGGAACAGGGTCGGGCAGGCGAGAGAGAGCAGCGCATGCTTTTGGTTGAACTCATCGAGGGGAGTGCGCCGGATGGAAGGCATCTGCAGCTGGTGAGCAGCCTGGGGGTCGACTGACTCTAGGGGCACTTGCTCATTGACCTCAGTAGCCCTATCATTGACTCGCCCTTGAAGCTGGTTCAATTCCGAACCATGGATTAGCATATTGGGCACTGCGGCTTCGTCAACAACCTCTCTGTCCTCTTCCGGTTCTTCAACAGGGCCAGAATCTGCAGGCAAACCTCCAGACTCGGCGACCTCGTGGATATTCAGCTGGTCAAAGACGTCACCGTCCTCTGGCAACTGGGAGAGGTCGTAGTTGCAGGTGAAATTTCTGTAGCCAAGGTGGTTGTCGGCGAGGAATCTGAGCCATGTCTCGACTGCTGCTCGGCGGACTCGGAAGCGGTTGCGGAATTGTCGATCCATCTGTTCGACCGCTTCGGATCCACGCGGTCGGAGGATGACAATGTCCAAATCCTTGGGCAGCAAGGGAAGCTCTGAGTACACCTTGCCCACGTCGCGCAAAAAGTGTACAACATGCCCGCGATACTTGTATTGCTGCCCACGAACCTGACGCTGATTAGCTAGTACACTCTCTCGCAGCGAAGCATCGTATACCGTGAAGACATTGACGCTGACGTGCACACGCGCAATGCAAAGCTCCTCCAGCGGCTCTAGTTGGGGCAACTCGGGTGGGACGGCACCAAAATCAAGCTTGTTCTCTGCGGAGAGGAGAAAAGGTTCGTCCTGCCGCTTCTTGTCATCTTTGTCATGACAGCGCTTGCAAACACCATCCGCCATGAGCTTGACGTCAAACCATCATCGCTCCTTGCAACGAAGGCATCGCTGCATCGTCTCTGCAGCAAGTGCCTCGTCTAACTCTCTCTTAACTGCAATGTCTTCGGCCAAAAGTGGCGTCTCCTGGTCGCCGCCTGTGAATCGGGGGCCCGGTTCGTCGAATTGGCGGGGTGGAGACTCGTCGCGGGGGGGTACCGCAGCGGAGCGATGACCACGAGGTCGGCCAACCAGGTTGCGTGAAAGTCGTGGCCGTCCACGCTGACGACCATGAGACCGTGGCGGGGAACTGGGAGGGGGACGATGGCGTGCAGGAATCCGCCCAACGCGGGGGAGCTGTGGTTGGGTGGCCTGCGGATTGTCCTCGTCGTCTCTCACGGCGCTCGGTGCATCATCCCTCTGCTGGGCAGAGGCGGGGCCATCCTCGGCATTCGCCGGTTGTTGTTGACGAAGCAGACCACTCATGGTGGGGGTCTGGGAGGGCTCTTCGCCCTGACGGCGCTGGACGCGATGCTGTCGCTGGATGGCTGAAATCTGGCCGCGAGCAGCCGCCATCTCCGGCGTGTCCGTATCCAGACGTCCACCCTCATGGTACATACTGGCAAGTACCCGGTGGGTGAGGTTTTGCCGCGGTGCAAGATGTACTGGGTCGGGCAGAGAGAGGGCAGCGCTCTCACCACGTCCGATCGCGCTCATAGCTGAGATGGCGGCCGTCGATGCAGCTCTCTGTTGTAGGTTAGCTACACAAAACGGAAAGGTATCACGATGTTGAACTTACAGCTCCCGCAAGCCGATCCCGGCACTCCAGGCAGTTTAACACAAGCCTGCCATTGCCACGACGATCGTAAAACTGGTCGATATTTTTCTCGACGCGACAGCGCCGGCACACCTTCGGCGCTGCCGGCAACGCAGCGCCCTCCATTGAAACAGCGAAACCCGGCCATAACGGGCATACGCTGAAGCCAAAAGAGGATGCGAAGCGTTACACACACAACAGCCAAGAAAGCGACAGGTCGCTTTGCGCGACAGCTAGATCGTTGGTAGCTGCTGCGTTGGGAGATGGTGCGCGACGGTGTGGGGTGCTGCGGGAAGTGGGGCGCAGCTGTGGAGCAAGGCTTATCCGCTTGTTGGAAAAGGTCCAAAAAAGCTCCGCAATTCCTTATCAATTTCCCATACAGATTAGTAATTAACGAAAAAGTTTCAGAACAATATTGTCCTCCGGACAAGATTAAAGATAGGTTTAACTAAAGGAAATATATCTAACGTAATCTATCACCTTTCAGACCACCTTACCGGTCACTTTCCTGCCCCACACCCCACCACGTCGACTTCGGACGCACCTCACAACGCAAAGGAGACTTCCATGACCATCGAGAATAAGAAGCCGATATTGACCAACAGTCCGTTTTCGAGTTTGTGGCTCGAAGACTTCTCGAAGCCACTCGAAGGTAAGCTCATTGGTTGTCCAGCCGTTATCGCTAACACCAATCCGCCATGTCTTCGGCAAGAGTGAGTCTTCGTACCACGTTGAAATGTTGACTTTCCCTTCGAAGATAATCAATGGATCAAGTGCCCAACCAGTTGCGTTGATGCATTCAATGACTGTCGTCCACTCTCGGTTTCCTGACTGAATAACAACAGGTCGGTTCCGTCGGTCAGACCGAGTAACCACATTAGATGTACTTGCAACACCCATCTGGAAGCCGGCCTCGTCAAAGTTGTAGATATCCACGTCGAGGACTCCGTACTCGTTGATCGTCTTTTGCACCCGTGCAAACCACGCTGAAATCTTCTCTGGGTCTTCGCATAAGGCTCGCTGATAGTCATACTTTCTTGAATACTTCGTCTTCAAATGGGGATGCCGATCAAGAAGCCGATGAACCCAGTTCTCGCGAACAGTCATTGCAGGGACCGGGGTAGTTGCGATAGACGCGTCGAGCAGGATTAACTAGCGTAAGTAGAAAAGCTTAAAGATATTTACTTCCTAGATTACTATTTTCACAGTAATATATTCCAGTTAGTAGTAAGAAATAAAATAAGGGAAGTTCTAGCGAGCACATCGGTTCTGCTAAGGAGCACACCCGGATGACTAAATCCACCCCCCCTAATTTTGTCTACACCTTCGCAGCTGGCAGCAGCCACCACAATGCCTTTACCACCTTCCCTTTACAGCTGCCACGCTGCCTGCCTTCGCGAAAGGAAGCTATTCCTACATCGTGCCATTTCCCTGAAAAACACCGTCATCCTCTGCATCGGCTGCTTTCGCAGTATCCGCGTCGGCGAGGATTGCGTCATGTAGATCTTCAACTTCAGGATCCACATATTCAAGGCCTGCAATCACCCGTTGGTACGCCCGCGGAGCAGCTGTCCCTGGCTTATACGTATCTTCGCCGTGCTGCTCGATCCGCCGTAGACCAAGCTCTGTACTTGTGACCTTCGGCTCAGCTGTATTTCCCCCGTTCTCTGATGTCGTTGTGACTTCCTCCGCGTCCGGGATAACAGCCGCCTGCTTCCGCTTCCGGCCCTTGCTCTGCATCACGGCTGGTGCTGTTGACGGGGGCACAGCAGTTGCCTGCTCCTCAGCCTGTTCAATTTCGAATGCAGATGGCAGCCTCTTCGTACCATTGGCACCCTCACCCTTCTTGTGAGTAGCGATGGCTCCAACTGGGCGGCCCTTACCCTTGACCTTTAAAGGATTCAGAGGAAGTGGAACTTGGCTCTCCTCACTTCCCGTCCAGCTCTGATAGTTCCACCAATGCTGATGTATTTGAGTCATCTCAAGGGGGCCGTGGCTAGTCAAGTGACTGTACAAGACATGACGGCAGGGGGGCCCATGAGTTGTACTCAGAGGACAAGGGCCACAGGTATCCTTGAGTGGCTCATTCCGTGCTGGCAAAGCCGAGATCTCTCTACTCAGTAGCTCAAGAGCGTGAACTGAGACCTGGCCACGAATCCAGCTGAACACGGCCTGGTTGATGTCCGTTCTCGTCTTGTTGGTACTCTGAGCCGTGTTGATGTCAAGGGCGCTACGCTGGTTCTTCTAGAACAGAACAAGACGCCGAAAGACACTCTCCAGATCAGCCTTCGAGCTAACGAGGTATTTCTTGATCGCAGAATGAGCTGATTCAACGGCTGAGGCGGTGACATGTCCAAAGTGTGGTATTTGGTTCGTCCAAGCTGCTACTAGCTTCTCCTGTACAGAGGTTAACTTGGATCACATCAAGGTATTCAGCCAAGATGCTGACCTTCCATGGAGTTAGCCAGGTATTGAGGGCATACTTGATAGCCTGCTCTGGGTGGCGGCTAGGGTCTTGAAACCTGGTGACGAGGCTTTCGTACACTTCAGGAGTACTTGCAGCAAGAAGGCTGCTCCACTCCTGAAGAAACTCCTTGAACTTGGGATGGCGTTTATACACGCCATTCTCTCGGGTCGCGGCAGGGAAGAATTGTCGAGTCTTGGCAAGTACATTCATGTTGACATGCCACTTGCACAAAAGATGCGGGATCATCCCCCAGCTGCTCTTGCTCAAGGCCTTCAGTAGGGCAAGCTCTCGGTCTGATACAATACATCCTGAATCAGGAATATCGTACTTCTGAAGTATCCTCATCGCTGACTCGAGGGCGCCCTTGTAGTCTGACTCCTTCTCGCCACTCACGAAGATGACCGCCCAGTTGAATGTCTTGTTCTCTTGCGTGACGCCACAGCCGTTGAACATGGGCATGCTGTGGTAATTGGTCTTGTACGTTGAATCGAAGAGCAGAAGATGGGGATTCTTCGAGCGTAGCTCAAGGCCACTCTTGGGTGCAATGGTGAGAGATGTGACGTGGCCTTCGGCATCGCGAGCATCCTGGTACTCAAACTCGCTGTCGCTGGAGACAAGGAAATCTTCGTACAAGGTCTGGAGAGGTGATCGACCGTGGAGCTCATCACGACGGTGTTGTTGGATGAGGTTGTGGATGTCTTTGCCAAACACACCAATCTCGTCGGCTTGGATCGCTGACAGGATCTGAGCAGGCCGAATGCCGCTATTCGCAAGCTCAATGATCTTCTCGTGATGAGGCTTCAGAGCCTGGGCTCCATTCTGCGCAAAAGCTGTGGTGTCGTTCCAGCCGTGGTTGTGGGAGACATTCTCCGGGATGTCGAGGCGTCATTGGCCATTAGGAAGCTGCTTTGCACTGAACTTGAACTCGCACTGGGTCATCTGCGTGCTCGTTTTCCGTCGTTTCGAATCGTGTACTTCGGGTTTGGCCTTGGATGCCCATTTGCGGCCCTTGGCACATCGGAAACGGGCTCGACCGCTGTTGATACCGTTCTTGACAATCTTGTAGCCGTTTTTGGCTGCGTGGGCATCGACTGTGGCTGAAAGTTCGTCCAGGGTGGCGTAGACTACCGGCGGCGGCAGAGGGCCGCAAGGTCGCATGATGTTCACAACTTCAGGGAGAGGTAGAAACAACTCAAATAGTCAGGACAATCCTAATAGCGATTAGGATTTCAAAATTTAGGGAATACCGCGAATCTGCAATATCTTGTTGACGGGAAGGTGTGGAAAAGGCTGGACGGGAAGGCTGCCGTTTGATTGATTGTGGAATTATTACGGGCAGCTGGCCACGGACTGCCAGTGAGGGTGCGACTTAGAAACTGCGGGGTGAGTGCAGCAAATGACCAATCCAAGGTGTGCTCCTTAGCAGAACTGGTGTGCTCGCTAGAACTTCCCTAAAATAAATACTATAAAGAGGTATATTAATAGACGAATGATATAGAGTCTCAAAAACATTTTAAACAATTATTATTATTATTTCCTACACCGATATGCCCGTGGGCGCGCCGGTCCTTCTACTGCTATTTACAAAGGAAACCGTACCGTATAGGCCGGATAAAAACCTCTGTCTACCACTTTGAGTCAACAATCTATGAATCCGTCATACTGCAAAAGAAAGGAGGCCCTTTGCCGGCCTCCGGGCCCTCTAGTCCAGTAGCCGGCCAGAGTCCATCAGCCAGCCAAGGACCTTCTTAACAAATCTTCTGCTCCGGGCACCTACTCCCCGTAATACGGTTTGTAGGTCCCGATGTGACCGAATCTCTCTGCCGTCCCACGGCCTTTGTGACGGCGGGTCGGGGCACCAAACCACCAAGTGCTCCACCGTCTCCCTGCCTCTCCCGCACTCGCAATAGGGGGTGCGGACCTCCGGGACTTTCACCCTGAACAGGTAGTCCCGGAGGCCTATATCCCCGATACGGGCCTGGGAAAGGAGGGAGCTCTGCGCCTTTGTAAGACCTTCGTGTCCCGTCAGAGCTTTGTCGGTAAATAAGAGGGCTGGGGGGTCTTCGTCGGCTATTCAGAGAAATATCTCTCGGTCTTTCCTCTTTCTATCCAATAACTAATAATTGCTAAATAGGCTATAATAATCTACATCTTTTAGGAAAATAGTATCGACCTTAAATAGAAACTATTTATATTCTAGCAGTAAACTATAGAGTATATCCTAGTAAAGAACGGAGGATGGATCGGAACGGCGTTTGGAGAGGCGGCGAAAGAGGCAAAGCGGACATTTGCGGTTTTGGTGAAAGGGATGTTGAAGAGAGACTTGAAGGACGTCACAGAAGCGGCATTCGGCAAGCAGCTGGGGCTGCAGTCGGTGGAACGAGTCAAGTTCCGAATTCCAACGATCGAGGGAGTCACGAGAGCGACGGCACTGGTTACTATAACCAGTCAGGAAGAATTGAAGAGGGCCTGCGAGGAGGGAGTGGTTTGGCGGGCCTAGATGCTCAACTGCGAGCCGTACTGGTCTGCGCTGCAGGCTACCCAGTGCTATAGGTGCTGGAAATGGGGTCACACCCAACGGTTCTGCAAGAAGTCTGCGCTGTGCCCGCGCTGCGGCACAGCGGCCCATGGGGGAGGCGGGAGGGCGGGGGAAGCCCAATGCCCAACCCACGGCAACGAGATTCCATACTTTTGTCCGTGCTGTTTAGGGAGGCACCCGGCCTGGGTACGGTGGTGCCCGGAAGCAGTGAAGGCCCGGGGTGCGGCGAGGGAGGCATACCATTTCCGGCCTCGAACCTTTGAGCTTGCTTTGCAGCAACAAACACAACAGCAGCAAGAGAGACTACTACCGACATTCCGGGGTGCGTCCACCCTGGAGGAGGCCGACGATGGCTTCCAAGAAGCGGGAAAAAGGAAGAGACCACGGGGCCGAACCCCCGTCTTTCTCATAGCCCAGGAGAGACTGCAAGGAGTTCGAGGCAAGGAAAGCTGACCTTTGCGAGGAAGGTTGATAACGGATCTGACCGGAGACCGAGGAGACGGTGGGGGGCCTAGGGGTTACGACTCCAGAGGCCGCGGATACCTTGGAGGTGGACGGTCAGGATGTCGGAATGCAGGGAGCTGGGTAGGCTCCCTTCAACCATAGCACGACGAATTCTGAAGAGACGGGCCAAGGTAACATCGGTACAGGTTTTTAGTCCGACTAGGAAACCAGGACGGTTTTCCTGTACAACTAGCTAGATAATTGGACCGGCGAGCCCCAGGGCATAGCGGTGTAGGAATAATAATATTTCTTAGCGACCAGCAGTAAGTTACAGGGCCTAAGCCCTGTAACAGTGGAAGATATAGTAGTCTATACCACTATAATATTTGGCATACCTCTACATTTATCACTGTAATCCTACCTAGCCATTGGAGCGGGTTTTACTATTTCCCACTTAGATGCCCACCAACCAGGTCGCAGTGCCGTGCACGGGCCGGCCGGCTTAAGGTTGGAAAACCTGATCCTGCAAAACTCGTTTGGCTGTGGTTTGCTAAAAATCGGCTCGAAAGGCCCGTTTTGCATCAAGAGCTGCAAAGTGTATAGATATACCCTATATTATAGTAACGTATATTATAAGCGAGCGACGCCCTGTTCCCCGCAACGCGTCTCCTCTTCCTGTTCCACCAGATCCTACCACAACCAGCCCTGCGTAGCCCCCCAAAAGAAGCCAGGCTTCGCATGGCCGTTGAAGCCATCGGAAAGAACAAAAGTCTCAGTATCCGGGCCGCAGCCAGACTGTACAACGTTCCGGAAGCAACGATTCGCCACCGACGTACTGGCCCGTCTGCACGACGCGATTTACCAGCCAACTCGCGTAAGCTTACGGACCTGGAAGAGCGTACGATAGTTCAATATATACTGGAACTGGATGCGCGCGCATTTCCCCCTAGACTGCGTGGTGTTGAAGATTTGGCCAACCACCTGCTCCGCGAACGCGATGCGCCCCCTGTCGGCAAGCTCTGGGCCCACAACTTTGTCAAGCGCCAGCCACAGCTCCGTACGCGTCGTACGCGTAGATACGACTACCAGAGGGCCAAGTGCAAAGATCCAAAGGTCATTGGCGAGTGGTTTACGCTTGTACAGAACACTAGGGCCAAATATGGGATTGTCGATGACGATGTCTATAACTTCGACGAGACTGGGTTTATGATGGGCATCATCTTCGCGGGTATGGTAGTTACGACCTCAGACGGCCGTAGCAAGGCTAAACTAGCCCAGCCTGGTAACCGCGAGTGGGCGACCGTAACCCAGGGAGTTAACGCCCTTGGCTGGACTATCCCTCCGTTCATCATCCTGGCCGCGCAATACCACCTCGCCAACTGGTACCGCGAGTGCAATCTACCACTCGACTGGCGCATCGCAACTACCGACAATGACTGGACTACCAATGCAGTTGGCCTTGACTGGATCAAGCACCTTGACTACCATACGGCGCCCCGGACAAAGGGTATACCGGTTGCTGATCCTCGACGGCCACGAAAGCCACCACTCCACCGAGTTCGAGCTCTACTGCCGGGACAACAAGATCATCACACTCTGCATCCCCCCGCACTCTTCCCACAAGTGCCAGCCACTTGATGTTGGCTGCTTCGGGCCACTGAAACAGGCATACGGTCGCCTGATCGAGGAGCTGATGCGCGCACACATCAACCATATCACCAAGTTCGAGTTCCTTGGTGCCTTTCGCGAAGCCTTCTTTGCTTCCATGACAGAGAAGAATATCCAGGGTGGGTTTGCAGGGGCCGGCATCGTACCATTCGATCCAGAGAGGGTGCTTTCTAAGCTGCATGTCAAGCTTCATACACCAACACCCCCAAACACCCGGCCTGGCACTGCACAACCTTGGGTCTCTAAGACCCCACACAACCCCCAAGAAGCCAGCTCGTAGTCAAACCTTATCAAGACTCACATCGCTAGCCATCAAAACAGCTCCCCAGCTTCAATGTTGGCTGCTGTTGACCAGCTAACCAAAGGTACAACGGCTGTAATGCACCAGGTGGCTCTCCTTCAGTCAGAGGTCTCTTCGCTCCGCAAGGCCAACGAGGCACTGAGCAAGCAACGGAGGGCCAAAGAAACACGTGTGCAGCTTGGAGGGTCACTTACTGTACAGGATGCACAGGATCCACTAGACCAGAGGGCTGTAGGTAAGGGGGTAGTGCAGGAAACGCAGCCGGATGGTAGTGGTACAGGGGGGGCTCGTACGAACGTTCGGTGCTGTAGTAGATGCCGCAAGCCTGGCCGTAATGCCCGCACTTGCCAGGAGGGTGCAGAAGCCACTGATACAGCTGTTTCTGATGTAACTGTAGTTATTTCCTAGTGTTATTGTAATATTTCTAGGGATAGTTAATGTAGTGCTGTGGGGGCTGGGTCATTCGTTGATATGGGTCATTGGTTGATAATATACGTTATATAGAGTTAGGTATTATAATCTATAATATAGTTTTAGCCAGTATGCCGCTGCGGTATGGCGCGCAAGACATTCGAACACCTCGTACTCGAATGCAGCGGAGCCGCAGATAAGTCCCAGCCCTGGCCAGATGACGGCGCAGAGCTACTGGAGTGGCTGGATGACGTGGAGAAGGCTGCCATAGTGGTGCGGTGGGTACTTGGGCTGGGGAGGCTGAACGAGTTCCGGCTGGCGGTAGAGCTGGAAAATGAGGAGAACAACGAGGAGGCCCGCGGCGGGGCCGGAGCGGAGTAGCAGAGGGCCACCGATGGAACAGAGGTCGCAGCTCATTTTATCTATTTCGTTACTTTGACCTCGGAAGGTGGGTGAGCCCTTTCGAGGAGATGGATCCACGGGGTAGCGGCGAGGCCGCAGTGGAGGTGCGGAGGTTTTCATCCAGCTTAGGCATGGTTTTTCCTACCGAGTTAATCGCTGAGTGACCGCATGTACTTAGTACCTAGCGTGATAAGAGAAATAATAATAATATATAAATATTATCTAAGATAAGTGATTCCTTAGTTAGTAGTTTTTTTTATAACCTCTTTAATAACTACTTTAAATAACTAGGCTTTATATCTATAATATTTCTTATGGGAAGGGCTCCCAAGCACCCACGAAATACTATCAAGCACCCAGCTATACCTAATCGAGATAATCATTTTTTCAATACGTCCGAGTGAATCACCAATACCAAAATTTCGGGCCGCTGTCACCTGGCCAGCTTATTATCATTATTTCCTACACCAATATGCCCTGGGGCGAGCCGGTCTTTCTACTGCTATTTACAAAGGAAACCGTACCGTATAGGCCGGATAAAAACCTCTGTCTACCACTTTGAGACAACAATCTATGAATCCGTCATACTGCAAAAGAAAGGAGGCCCTTTGCCGGCCTCCGGGCCCTCTAGTCCAGTAGCCGGCCAGAGTCCATCAGCCAGCCAAGGACCTTCTTAACAAATCTTCTGCTCCGGGCACCTACTCCCCGTAATACGGTTTGTAGGTCCCGATGTGACCGAATCTCTCTGCCGTCCCACGGCCTTTGTGACGGCGGGTCGGGGCACCAAACCACCAAGTGCTCCACCGTCTCCCTGCCTCTCCCGCACTCGCAATAGGGGTTGCGGACCTCCGGGACTTTCACCCTGAACAGGTAGTCCCGGAGGCCTATATCCCCGATACGGGCCTGGGAAAGGAGGGAGCTCTGCGCCTTTGTAAGACCTTCGTGTCCCGTCAGAGCTTTGTCGGTAAATAAGAGGGCTGGGGGGTCTTCGTCGGCTATCCTCCTGTTTAATACCCTCTGTCGAGTAGTACTTTGTTGACTAGCTCTCTGTTGTTCCCACCGGGCCTGCCAGGCCAGTTCGACCACCTCCTTGGTATTCGACCCCCTATCCTTCCCCCCGGTCTTCCATTTGTAGTTAACCCACTGGGCCACTACACTAGCGGCTAGTTCAGTGGGCGTGGGACTCTGCGGGCCCTGACGGGGCCTCCGGCCTCGGGTTTTCCTCCTCTTGTTGAACGTTCGGTAGACCTTATTGCAGGCCTCAGTGATTAGATGCCCCGTGGTTATTCTCTCAGCCTCCGGCCCAGCCCCTGATTGTAGGGCCTGCTTCTGTAGCCGGCCCTCGAAGTCAGCCAGCCGCTTGTTGAGATATAAGTCTAGCGGTGGCACCCAGGCCTCTGTTTCTAGGCACCGAATAGGAGCTGACTTGTATGCCCCTACTACTATTCGAAGGCTCCTGTTCTGAGCTTTTGACAAGACCTTTGCAGGCCCCTTCGGCCCTGTAGCTCTTGGAGCTGTTGGTTGGTGGAAGCTGGAGGCTCCGTAAGCTATGGCACTGCGGATGCACTTTACGTAGACCTCCCGAGCCCTGGATAGGCTCGGGCCCCACGTCTTTGCTGCAATCCTCGATAAGGCGAAATCTTGGGTTTTGAGTTTCCGTTCCACGGCCAGCTTATTATACCGTTGCGTAACTTCCGCAAAGTCGCTTCGAGATCAACAGCGCCGAAGCAGCAGCAAAATTGCCGACGACCCAGTCACATCGACAAACCGATCTCTTCATGTAATGCCCTCACGCCGGTACGCTGCCATTTCTTTTATGCTTAGGGGCTCAAACTGACCCTCTCGATACACTTCTAGAATAGGTACCTTTGCCATGACAGAGCATTCCACCGAACCGATCCCTCGACCGTGCGGCCCGCCGCCACCCGTCAAGATCTACGAGAGCCTAGACGACCTGTTTCAAGATATCTGCACTCACGGACAGGAACACGGCTATAGCATCGTCAGGAATGGGAAAAACGGACTCAAATACAAGTTCAGATGTGCCAAGGCTCGCAAGTACAAAGATCAACGCTCCTCCGAAATTCACGAGAGCAAGCGGAGGAAGTCCAGCACCCAGATAACCGGCTGCAAGTTTCGACTGACAGCCAAGCCGCTAGCTGACGGCAAGTGGCTGTTAGAGGTGCCTGAAGAGGAGCTCTCAAGTCACAGTCACGGCTGGAATAAAGCGGCTTCGTTTGCTTTGAACCGCACCCGAGTTTTGGCTGTCCATCAGGAAGAGGTCATCCAGATGGCCAACGCTGGCAGTAGACCTTCTCACATCCTTGCTGCGATAGATGCTGCTCGGGTTGGAGTCATGGGCAAGGACATAACGAACCTTCTTCAACAACATCGCCGCCAGGAACTCCGGGGCCGTTCGCCACTCCAAACCTTGTACGAGGACTTCCTTGTGCCTGCTGAGAGCCAGTACGAGTACATCGACACCCGGGACAACCAAAATCGCATTACCTCTCTTACCATCTCTCCCAAGAGCGGCCTGGAGCTCTTCAAGCAGAATCCCGACCTCCTTTTGCTGGATTCCACCTACAAAACCAATTGCCACGGGATGCCAATGTTTAACGACTGCGGCGTTACACAGGAAAACAAGACTTTTAACTTGTCGATCACGTTCATGAGCGGGGAGAAGCAGGATCATTACGAAGGCGCTCTAGATGCCCAGCTAAGGATCCTAACGAAGCACAACATTCGCCTACTCTGATTGTTGCAGATCGTGAACTAGCCCTGCTCATTGCCCTCAAAGCTAGCGATGCGTGGCGCCCGATTCCACACCTCCTCTGCCGCTGGCACGTTAACATGAACGTGATTTCCAAGACCCGACAATTCTTTCCAGCAGCAATCAAGCAGGGCAGCGAATACCACCGTCACCCTAAGTTCAAGGAATTCCTGAAGGAATGGAACGCTCTCCTGTCTGCCAGTACTCCCAAAGTGTACGAGCAATCGCTTGCCAGATTCAGATTGGCCGGGAAACATCCAGAGGAAACGGTCAAATATGCCGTGAATGTGTGGCTAACACCTTGAAAGAAGGTAAGGATCTTTTTGGGCGCTTTCTAATCTTTGCTGACATCGAGAAGGAGAAACTAGTGATCTGCTGGGCCAACCAGGTGCCTCACATGGGCCACATTACTACTTCAGCAGTTGAATCATCCCATTCTTCCATCAAGAAATACCTGGTCACATCCAGGGTTGACCTCAAGAGCGTCTTCGAGCGCCTCGTGCTGTTCTAGAAGAACCAACGCAGCGCCCTTGACCACAACACTTCCTGGAACACGAACAAGGTCCCTACTCGCTGTCATGGCGTCATCTGCAGCTACATCCGGGGCCAGATTTCAACTTACGCATTGCATTTGCTTCCTACTGAAGTGGCAAAGCAACCCGCGAAAGACGCGCTGTGTGGGGAGGGCGATATTTGCACATGTCCGCGGCCGGCTACCCATGGGCTTCCCTGCCGCCACACTCTCTATAAGCATCTTACCGGTGATGGCCCCGTTGAGCTGAAGCAAATCCACAAGCATTGGTAGAGTTATCGGCCTGTGACCGACGGAGAGGAGCAGCAGATCATCAACGGCGTGCCAAATATCCCGCTGAGCCCGTCAAGGTCAAGGGTAAAGGCAGACCTGCTGGGGCCATCGCCTCGGTCCCTGCTTCGAAAAAGAAGGGTGAGTGAATCACTGGTACCAAGCGGCTGCCTTCGGCGTTCGAATATGAGCTCGAGAATGAACCAGCTACGGCAGTTCCCGTCAACTGCTCCTCTCATAATGAAGGGACCATCGGCGGGCAAGCCACGCGGCCGCCCTCGCAAGCAACAGCCGCAGCTACAAGCTCGGCGGCAAACTCAGGAAGCTGACTGCATTGTGGTAGCAGTTACATCAGAGACGGAGGCAGCCACATCAACTCCTGCAGGGACAACTACAAAGCTGGGGTTACTGCGGCTGCAGGAAGTTGAAGAAGATCTATACGAGCGTGAAACGGCACCGCCGCGAGCGTATCAGCGCATCATTGATGCCCTCGATTCTGTTGATCCCGAGGTCGAGGATACACATGATGCGTTGCTTGCTGACGGAGAGGCTGATGCTCGGCTGGCTCGTGAGGATGCTGCAGCTCTTGAGGAAGACGACGAAGGCGAGGAAGAAGACACTACTATAGAGGATTGAGGTCACTCAAGAGTATCTATCCTTCCCATGTAAACAGGATTGTTGGAACAACGTCAATTGACATGATGATTTTGCTGTGCCATTGGGGAAATCTCGGAACTTCTGGCGCTGTTAGCCCTGTTTTACATAATTACATATGTTACGCAAGCTGACGGTCCGTCACTGGTAAAAGAAAAACGATTATCCCAATTAGGTATAGCTGGGTGCTTGATAGTATTTCGTGGGTGCTTGGGAGCCCTTCCCGTTATACAAGGTTTCTTAAACTTAACAAAATAACCTTGAAATATAATAGATAAATGGGAAAGGACCCCACGGATGTGAGAGGCGAGCCGGTAAAGAAAGGCATCACCAAGGCCCTCGGGAACGCCCATAACAAAAGCTTGCGGATTGTAGCGGGAGTCTTCAAGCACACTCCCATCCGCAATCTCGAGACGGAGACGTGGGTGCCGCCGTTGGACCTACGGTTTGCGGACTTTGAGACCAGACTCCAGCGAACCGACCTAGACGACGGTCAGGGCGGCAAGAAGACCGCAGGGAGCGTTATTATTACCGCCTGTAGCAAGATATAGCAGAGACTACGCTCGAGGAGCGGCAACAGGAGCCGGCCACGAACCGTAGAGCTACGGGAGCCCACGGCGGTGGAGAAAGCCGCGAGCACGATCGCGCGCTGGACGGGGGGCATCGCAGACACGGACAGGGTAGTAGAAGAGGCTTGGAAAGAGGTGGTTAAAGGAACGGGACGGCAGAGCGATCACCAGGCCGGCGGACGACTTTGACCATCAACAGGAGACGCTATTCCGGAACGAAACCCTAAGGAGGCACGACGGTCTCAGCAAGGCAAAGAGCTCACTGCTGATTCAAATCCGGCCGGAAGCAATAGGCTTACGGGACTTCTTGTTTACACGGGGAGTCCCGGAGGTTCTGACTCCTGCCTGCGAGTGTGGCGAGGGACGAGAGACTGCCGAACACCTGGTGGTGTGGTGTTTGGCCCCACCGTTGACTCGAAGATGGGAGAGAACTGGGATTCGGACACGACGGGACTTTTACTCTGTTCTACACAGTATTGATCCTGCAACGGCACGGCTCACGAGGAGGGTCCTGGGCTGGCTGATGGACTCGGGGAGGCTGCCGATGTACAGTTTGGCAAGGAGGCTTGAGCTGGAAGCGGCGGCCGAATAACCCCCCCTCACAATTTCGGAAGCCAGGAGGCCTCCTCCCTTTGTATTCTTAGACTCACACACACGTATTTTCCTTAACAGTCCGTATGGGCTTTTCATCCTGCCCGGGAAGGCACGGTTTTCCTGTACACTAAATAGCAGAGGGTCCGGCACGCCCTAGCGCATAGCGGAGTATGATAATAATAATATTACTTTAGATCATATTATTCCATTTCCCTATAGTACGCAGTTTTGTATATATCAACTACCTACTACTTAGGATTTTTTCCAAGATCCAATTACCGGTTTTATTAATCTATTAGTAGAACTATTCTCCTCCAAGATTGGTTCACCTATATGGGGAATCCCTAATCGTTTATCGGGGATCCTCTTCCACGATTTAGGGACTCGCAGGCTCTACCTTATAAGTATTCACAAGATCGATTACATCTTATCAACAACTTATTGTATCGGATATATAGTCCTATAGCCCAGTTTAGGGCTAAATCAAAGCCCTTGCCTAATTAAGCCTCCATTTAAAGTAGCGATATACCTTAAAAACTATATATACTACCAATACTTGCGCCGTATAGTACTATACACTTTGTAATATCACTATCGTTTAAGGGAGGAGATAGCTCAAGAATAGTAACCTTCTACACTATATCCTACAATTATAGTCTCATAAGGCCTACGTGTATAGCCCTCTAGTCATAGGGCTACGGTTCCAACACCCGCGTTAAAAGGTTACTTCTACTACAAGTATAGTAAAGAAAGATAAGAAGTAGCTACCCTGCTAAAAAATTAAGGAGGATCCTGCCCTCTAATTAAATATAACGGTGCCCTGACGCGCGGCCTATAAAACTCTAAAATCATAACCTACTTTCCCTCTTGTTAGAGAGGACTAGGGGTGTCCCCCCCCGGTTTATTATAAGGGATTAATCCTGTTTCTAAAAAAGAATCTTTTCCCTTACTTATATTAATATTAATATTACTAAAGAATTATAATAGTAACGTAATCTATCACTTTTCCGGCCACTTTCTAACCCCGCACCCCACCACGTCCACTTTGGATGCACCTTATCATGTCATCGTACCCGGCAAAATGCCAAAGCCTCTGCAGCACGAAGAACGGATCCAATTAGCGGTCGAGGCCTTACGTTCGGGCCAAACCCAAAGCATTCGAGCTAATTAGTACAAGTTTAATAAGAAGGCTCAAGTGGATGGAGTTGGCCGACGGACAGATATTGGCGCTTCGTCTCTCCCGTAACTCAACCCTAACCCAGATTGTCCTCCGGAGAGGGACAGGAAAATTGCCAGGAGGAGAGAGAAAAGAAACGCCCTGTAGCGCAGCGAAGGGCCGCGCGACCGACAACGAAGCGACGCCAGCAAATTTAGTAATATACGTCAGCCTCTTTTATGAGTTACCCGCCGTTACAAAGGCCGTGGGACGGCAGAGAGATTAGGTCACATCGGGACCTACAAACCGCATTACGGGGAGTAGGTACCCGGAGCAGAAGATTTGTTAGGAAGGTCCTTGGCTGGCTGATGGACTCTGGCCGGCTACTGGACTAGAGGGCCCGGAGGCCGGCAAAGGGCCTCCTTTCTTTTGCAGTATGACGGATTCATAGATTGTTGTCTCAAAGTGGTAGACAGAGGTTTTTATCCGGCCTATACGGTACGGTTTCCTTTGGGACGGACACAGTTGTCTGATGCTATCGCGACCGCAGAAACCGCCAATTCCTTGCCAGAAGACGCCCTGCTGCCGCCGCTGCCGCCCCTGATGGCCTCGTCAGGCGTTGAGGAAGTCATAGAGACTGCAGAATTGGCGCCAGAGCCCGTTATTCCATCGCCGCCGCTCTCGGGGCTGTACGACTCTTTTGACGAGCTTTTGGCCTTTCTGCAGACGTTCCATCGCGATAACGGCGCGGCTATCAGGATTCTGAAGAGTGCAAACCCTCGCGAGGTCTATGCCAAGAAGAAATACACATACTATGTCCTTGCCTGCGATCGCGCCGGCTCTTAAACGTCCACAAGCACAGGAATCCGAAGATCCTCGACTCAGCGGCTCGACTGCCCGTTTAAAGTCATAGCATCAGCGACGAAGCGTTCCGGCTAGAAGTGGTCGTATCGCGTTGACTACCCCGAGCACAACAACCCACCGTCTCTCGACTCGTCAGCACACATAATGCATCGCCAGCGTACCCTAGCCCAGCAGCAACAAGCGCGAGATTTGACCAAGCACCGGGCCCTTCCTGCGCGCGAGAGTTAGAGATCATGAGAGACTCTAGCTGCGCCGAACCTACGTTCTTTCGTCAGTCAGACATCTATAACGACAGACAGAAGATCAGCATCAAAGGACTCAACGGCTTGTCAACCACCCAGGCCTGGATTAAGCAGCTTCAAGATAACAACCTTCGTCACTGGATCAAGGTTGACGATGACAACAAGGTCGAGGATGTCCTGTGGACTTACCCTTGGTCAGAGAAGATGTGGCGCCAGTTTCCTGAAGTCCTGGGACTTGACAACACGTACAAAACGAACCGTTTTCACATGTATCTCTCCGAGGTCATAGGCATCACGGACCAGAAGTCGGTAGCCAACTTCGCGTTTGGCCTCATCAACATAGAGAAGGAAGACGGCTTCCTATAGCTTTGTCAACATCAAGACCTTCATGTGCCGGCACCAACCGTGGTGATCACAGTCAAGAAGACAGCCCTCAAAAATGCCCTCAGGGCGACCTTCCCGGGTGCGCAGCAACAGCTGTGTGTCTATCACATCAACGCGCATGTGAGGGCAAGAATCCGGTCAAGGTGGAAGGCCGAAGACGGGAGAAGCGACGACGAGGCTGACGAGGGCTGACGACGATGAGGCCGAGGTCGCTGACGGCGATGGCGACCTCGTCGCCCGCGCTGCTGAACAAGAGGTCGCCGAGCATGGCTGTGCGGCCTTGCTGCCTGCCGCCGACCCTTTCACTCGCGATGGAATGTTCCGTGCGTGGCAACAAGTCGTGTACGCCGAAGACGAGGCTGATTTCCAGTCAGCATGGAACAAGATGAAGGCTATATACAATCCAACGCAGAACCACATCCTACGCTATATCTCGAAGGAATACATTCCGTACCGCGAGCAGTGGGCGCGCTGCTTTATCAAGCGATACCGCAACTTCGGCCAACGAGTCAACAGTCCTGTGGAAACGGCACACGAGGACGTGAAGTCCTTCCTCATCGCGGGCACAAGCGACCTCCTCCACCTCCACAACGCGATCTCGCTGATGCGGCAGAAGGAGAGAGACTACAACGAGAAGGCCGCGGCGATGCAAATGCGGCCGCGCCAACGCTTCATCCAGCAGCAAGGGTGGCTACGGAACATCCCCATGACAGTCTCCTACGTCGCTGTCGATCTCCTTGCCCAACAGCACCGGCTAGCCGTGGCCGCGATGCCCTCAAGCCGTGGCCTGACATCAGCCTGAGCCGCTGAGGCCTTGGCACTGGCAGCTTCATGCAGCAGTACGCGCTTCCTTGCAGCCACATAATCTTCAAGACGCTGGACGACGGCGAGGCCCTCAGCAAGGAAGATGTCCACCCGCGATGGTGGCTGGCCAAGCCTCTGGTACGATTTCCTATGATTTTCTATGGAAAAGCTACTAACTGCTTGGTCCCAGGACATTGACGAGCCCTTACTCCGACTCCGCGATCCTGACGTCGTCCAAAGCCTCCGTGGCCAGCCTCGCCTGCCAAAAAACGAGAAGATAACGGTGCCGTCATCCCTGAGGGCTGACGACGGCCAAGATGAAGCCCAGCACGAGACGGCGCAGTCAACGCAGCAGCAGCGGCGGCGGCAGCCAAAGCAGACTTCGCAGCCACATCACCGTGAGCGCCGTGCGAAGCCAAGCGCGCGTCGCGATCTATCACAATTTAAGGTTGAAGGCTGGCAAAGGTCATCACAAAGGTGGTCCCGGAGCCGCGGTTGCGGCCGCACCCGGGCAGCTTCGTCACCGTCGACAAGGAGTTCGCAGTCACGCGTAAATTCGCAGTCTACGAGAACTGCAAGAGGACGATCGAGGAGGTCAGCGACAGCCTCTTCTACGGCGAGGCTGGCCGCGATAGCTGTAGCCGCCTTTGAGACCGACCCCGAGACCGAGTCTGAGGCTGAGGACGTGATTGAGGTCATCCCGGCCACCCAACCCGGCGCTGACGGGCCGGATGAACTAGCCGGCCCGTGAGAAGTGTTAACGTTGAATTAGAAGGGCCGGAAATGCGTTTTTTGAAGAATTGGCACCGATTGATAGTCGATAGACCTTATAGTGTGTGATTTTGTATGAAGATATTCTTTCCCAGTGTCTTGCACTGTATTTTGGTGGGTGCGGAAATAGCGATTTTGGGGGTAAATCTAGCTAGTAATGTGGACTTTACTGTCCAAATAGAAAAAAACTACTGTTCAAATAGGAAGACTCGTAATAAAATTAATAAAAGTTTAGAAGAACAGAGAAGCTTGTAATCCTGTATTGCCTCTAACTTGTATATAAATTACTATAAGCAAAATTAGCTGCTAGTAGTATTCAAACACACCTGGCTTATTAGAGTGTTACAATAATTATATTTTAGATTTTAAACCTAGTTTCTCATTTCAGGTATTATACTATTATTTCCTATACCGATATGCCCGCAGGCGCGCCGGTCCCTCAACCGCTAATTCTTCTACATACAGAGAACACCGTATCCTAAGGCCGGCTGCAAACCTCCGTCCGTTACCCACACTCTGAATCCTTCATACTACAGATGCCGGGGCCTGGTTAGCGTTGCCGAGCCTGCCGTAGCTCTCGAATGCAATCGGCTATCCCCGGAAGCCATCAACCCCCGTTCCTCCCGTTTCCGCAACCAACAGTTTTTCCGTCTCCATATCCTAGGTCGGCATACTACTACAGAGCTTACCCTCCGTAGATTTCCTCCGCTTTTGTTAGGCTGGTGATACAACCCTGGGTTTTTTCTCAGCGCTCGATCCCAGCTCATGGCACTCCTGTTTTTCCGCTCCGAGTTACGAGGTTTTGTCCCGGTTCGTTGATTTGGTCAGGGGGGCCCAATCCCCTAACCTCCGAGACGACGGCTATACCTCAGGATTCCTTCCCCGGCTGGCTAGGCCTGACTCTAAGCGTCCTCCAGTTCTTAGGAGAGTGAGGGGAGCCGGTTCGAACCGACGACTTCTGCAGCCATGCAGAAGACTTGCCATGCGCAGCACGTTCCAACTACGCCATCCCCCCGTCTAGGTACTAATAAAAGTCTAAAGAGTTAATAATTTATTACAAACTTCAAAAGCGATCATTTATATTCAAACTAATCTCAGTTTTCAGACCGTTTCTTGGGCGATCTGCTTCTTGTGGTTAGCTACCGTGTGGAAAGTTTTGACGACGCACCGTAAGACTCCGCTGCACCCGTTTTTGGTGGGCCATCAGTCGCGCTAGTCAAATTTGGAAGCAGTCCCACTCTTTTTGCAAGATCGCCTAAGAAAGAGGTCTGAGTCGGCGATCGGAAAAATGGCCGAGTGACAATCGCGCTTCCATACGAATTGAAGCATGCAGCCAAAATTACTCCGCCATTGCGCAACACCACCACAATCTCCAATATTCAAATTTTACGTGGAGGATCGCGTAGACTAGGGCTTTCTAATGGTACCATTTTTATGTTGTCAATTGGTCTGTAACGTAGATTGATATCCTGCTAGGCGTGGCCACGAGCGACAATCGCGTCCATCTCTGCCGCAACCCCCAATTCAAGTTCACGACCACGCGTCGTAAAAATATGGAAATAATACTGCATGTTCTTCCCAGCCAGCGCATCCTCAGGTAGTCATTTTCTCTCCACCAATCCACACGTATCTCAGCATTCTGCGCCCGATATCATGGACGTGTTTGACGATATTGAGCGCGTTCCAGCGACTTTGCGTACGCTTGCTGGTGGCCACGAGCCTCGCCGAGGTCAGATTGAGGCTGTAAAGAGTCTCGCGATCTACCAACAAGACACCATTCTTGTGGCCGCTACCGGCTACGGCAAAAGCGCTGTATTATTCGCATTTTCCGCGATCAAACCCGACAGAATCACCGTTCAAATCGTGCCATTAGTGACGCTGGGAGAGAGCCAGAGACAGGACATTGCCACCAAGTTACCGGAGTCGAGGCCCATCTGGGTCGATGCAGATACCCACCTCAAAGTAAGTAACTACGTGCTAAGGCGAGCCCCTGACCCCTGACCCCTGAGGAAATAGTAACTTCGTCATTTGATAGAACAAACATGTTTGGAAGGAAGTCGAAGACCGGAAATACAGCCACGTACTCTTGAGTCCGGAACAGGCGCTCAATCCGAAGTTCAAAGCCATCCTGAGAGACCCGGCATTCCATACGAAGATCGGACTCTTTGCCATTGACGAACTACATTGCGTCGGCGAATGGCGGCATTTCAAGGAGGATTACACGTATCTCTATACGTTGCGGACCTTGGACAGAGATAATCAAGGCTATATCCTCAAGCATGCCGGCTTTAATCCCTACCCCAGCATCATCCGTACCTCCATCGACAGACCCGAGATCTCCATTATCGTCCAACCGCTGCTACGAGGCTCGATATACGACTACCGCCGGCTTCAGTTTCCGGTGGAGGGCTCCAGCGCTGTTAATGTCCGGGATGTTCCCTAGACAATCATCTATCTGGATAGCAAGACGGCTTGCCTGCGCGCAAGATATAATCTTGATGCAATACCTTCTTCGCCGTAAATGTTTGAAAAGGGCTTCGCGCGCAAGGTTGTCCGGCGGTTCGATGCAGACGTACGGCCCACCGATAAAGAGATCATCTTCAAAGACTTCACCAACCTCGACACCAACTGCCGCATCATCGTAGCGACGGTTTCTCTGGGCATGGGCATGGATATTCCTGATGTCAGGCCAGTCATACAAATCGGCATCCCCCCCAGCACCAGCATCGCAGATATTTGGCAACGCATTAGAAGAGCGGTGCGCAAGCAGCCTGTCGATGGCCGTGTCCAAGGCATCGCATATCTCTTCATTCTATACTGGGCTTTTGATCACCTTGGGAGCGTCGAGAAGCAGAAGCCAGCCGCGAGGAAGAGGCCACAACCCAGGAGAGCTCAACGCCAACCAAACGCTGCTGTCATCAGCAGTCGACTACAGCTAATGACTCTGGTTGATGACGGGGGTGACAACGACGCGGGGAGCCATGCCAGTGCCGTTACCCAAGCAAGTCAAGACACCATTGTATCAGAATCTCAAGCACCAGCCGTCCCTGAAGAGCTTACTCTAGAGGCAACTATTAGCTCCCAGTGTCTATTTGACTTTACAACTAAAGTCAAATGGACGAAGCTAGACATATCGCAACGTGAAAAGCTTGATCCTATCTCTATGGCGTTCATGAACGCTTCTTGTTTCCGAAAATTCGCATTGGAATATCTTCAAGAAGATGTGGACAATCCTGACCTCGAATATCGCCGTCCGCTTGACCAAAGTTTATGTTGTAACGCCTGCAACCACGAGCTGGGCAAAAGTGCCCCCCCCCCCGCTGCCACGCGACAAACAGGGCGAGAAGCCATCGACGGGTTCTCTGGCCGGACACGCACTCAAGCATATATCTTCCTGGTGTATCAAGAACGCCCGGAACCTGGTATAACAGAGGCACCGCCGCTTCGACATTACACCAGAGTTGTTCATGGACAGCAAGCTACAGTACGTAGTTGCGCGTACTTTCTCAGACGTACGGGGGGCCACCAAGGAGCTCCCTTATAAAGACATGCAGAGTTTGACGCAGAAAGTGCCGCATTTGAGAGAGTGGGAACACATTGAGACGAAGGGGGTTGAGCTAGTGACGTTCTGTATCGCGTCGCTCGCAAGGATCAAGGAGGATTGGGATGTTGGTAAGGCAAAGAGAGCTAGAGAGACGGATGCCAAAGCGCGTGAAGAACGTGAGGCACAGACTCGCAACGCTACAGCTGTTGATGCGAGCCGGAAGCGGGCGGCAGCGGGTATATCCTGCAAGTAGAAGAGCTACCGGGTTGTGAATATATATTATTATTATTATTCATACTCCGCTGTGCCCTAAGGCGTGCCGGACCCTCAGCTATTTATTGTACAGGAAAACCGCGCCCTCACGGGCCGGATGGAAAAAACCATACCGACTATTAAGGAAAAAACGTGTGTGTGAACCTGAGAATACAAGGAGAGAAGGCCTCCTGGCCTCCGAAGGTGGGGAAGTTGTTAGGCCGCCGCTTCCAGCTCGAGCCTCCTTGCCAAACTGTACATCGGCAGCCTCCCTGAGTCCATCAGCCAGCCCAGGACCCTCCTCGTGAGCCGTGCCATTGCAGGATCAATACCGTGTAGAACAGAGTAAAAGTCCCGTCGCGTTCCAATTCCGGTTCTCTCCCATCTTCGAGTCAGCGGTGGATTCTGAATATATATCTATCATGTCTTGGCGTTGTAATTGCTTGCCCCTAAGCCCTGGCTCTATATCATAAATGTGATCGTTATATGATGTGAATAAAGTAAAGGTATAAGAGCGACAGTATCAAGATTAATATCTTACAACAACAGCGTTAAATGCGTTAGAATGCTACGCCCAAGTCATCCAAGCCATCCGCCCAGAGATCATCGTCAACGTTAAACAACCGCTCTCCTTCGCCCGCCCAGTCAATCTCAATCTCGCCCAGCCCACTGCCAACTCCCGGAAGACTTCGTTGATCTGCAGCATCTTTTGGCTCTGGAATAACGTCGTTGAAGTCATCCAATTTCTTCAGAAGATTCTGCTGACCTTTTACCCGTAGATCAGGTGCATCGAAGGCGTCGGGGCGACCCTCAGAAGCCCGGCGTGGCATCCCATCCTTATACAGCTTGCAAGCATAAGATATGATATCAGTCGCAGGGTCGCCAGCCGCATGCGCGCCTTTCTGTTGCCTGCCAAAGACTCTCTCAACCGACCGGCGAATTGTAACCAGATATGCGCCATTGACGGCTAGCCGGCTGAAGGTTGCCTCGATATCATGCGTCGAGTTCCGATTCGTCTTGATGTCATGAGCATATCCAGCGTGGATATGCTCCTGCATAAGACCAATGGCCTTGTACATACTACCAGCAGTAGTACAGCGAACTAGACCGCCCTTCAGAATCGCATTGCGGGTAACCTCATCCTTGCTGACATTTGGATGCAAAAGCCAGGCAAAATACAGCATCTCAGGGCCGTAGTTGGTGCCGCGGCTGCCCCAGAAGAGGACTGGAAGCATGGTAATGATGTCCTTGACCAGGCCGTAATCCCCTTGACGGACTGCTTCATGGATGATAAGCAGGACCTCCACACACTGCAGTAGCCGGCAGTGACTGCGAAACTCGATATCAATTTTCGCATCTTCGTCGGGGTTCATAAAATCGTCGTGTCTGCCGGTCCAGCCATTGTACGTGAAGCAGGTTTTCCAGATCTCCTTCAGAATACGCTTGAGGCGTTTTCAGTCGAGGGCTTGCAAGGCACGCTTAACCTTGTCGACGGTTAAGTCAGCGGTATCAACGAACTCAATCTCCTCTTCATCAACGAGCGTTTGTATCACCATGGCGACGATTCTTGCGGTGTATCCATGTATCAGAAGAGGTAGGACCTGGTGATACTTAATGTCTTGCTTGTTGATGTGGCGGCTGCGCTGGAAGAATTGTATGTCGGCGGAAATAGTCGCACTTGACCGGCCCTTCCCACCAGTGTCCCAGAAGACCCGGAAAAGATGTAATTGAGCTCTTCGTGAAGCCGGTAAACACCAGCAATGGTGCCTTCATCTTCAAAAATAGCTCCAATCTGGAGGCAGGGCGAATCCTTATAGTTGACCCTCTTGACAATGGGCATGGCGGGAGTCTCCTCGCCGTCTTGGTTGAATATTTTCAAGAAGGCGTGCCCCATCAGTCACTTGGACGCTTTGTCGAAGGTCTTGCGTCTTGGAAGAAGGTATTTGACAACCATCTCGCGGGTGAATGGTTGTGTCAGGTGGTCGAGTGAAGACTGCATGAGAGGGCCGTTGAGCTCGGGACAGCCGACAAGAGAAGCGGTGGTAAGATTAATCATCGATGCCTTTTTACCGCCGACAAGCTCGCGAACGTTACTCTTGAGATTGAAGTTGTCGTATACAACGACACCGTTGGGGTCATGTGCCGCCTTCTTCAAATTATCCTTGGCCTGCTCCGCCATGTCGTTGAGCAGTTCGTTGAGTACGGTGTATGAAGAGATGATTCCCATCATCGAGAACGTGTCAATGACGCGACGGGGTGTACCGTTGGCTAACATATAAAGGCCGAGACCTTTCCTCAAGAAGGCACTGTTGTTGCGTGCGAAGCCTCTCATTACAAGCGAAGCCAGGAGACAGATCTGACTGCTGTTATTGTCGCCGACATTGACGCTCTCGAGATTCGTGTGCGGAATAACCTATCTCTGTTAGATATTGTATTTAAATAGCCAACCACGATATCAATAACTACCTGATTCTGCAGCAACTGAGAAAAGAGGGCAACCATCTTGGGGGTTTTGGCTTCAAGGGTTGGCCAAATCTGCTCCAGTGTATCCTCCAAATAAGGGGTGCTACACATGTCGGTAATGGTGGCAGCATCATGGCCTTGATGGGCAGGCCGATCCGCGACTCAGACCAGCTGGGTGGGTTGGTTACAGTGGGTCATTTCAAATTATTTGATTAGTGAGTTCTGGCCACTGTAGAGCTAAGCTCGACTAAGTAAGTCCCCGTAATGCCAACCCCCAAAGCTGGGCTGAGTTTCTGGGATAAATTCAAACTATCTATATCAGGTTTGTCATAAACTTAAATCCTTACCATCCAGATATATCTAAATTCTAAAAAAATACTTGGAAATTATTAAGTTTAGTAGTATATTATTATGTCTCTTATCACGCTAGGTACTAAGTACATGCGGTCACTCAGCGATTAACTCGGTAGGAAAAACCATGCCTAAGCTGGATGAAAACCTCCGCACCTCCACTGCGGCCTCGCCGCTACCCCGTGGATCCATCTCCTCGAAAGGGCTCACCCACCTTCCGAGGTCAAAGTAACGAAATAGATAAAATGAGCTGCGACCTCTGTTCCATCGGTGGCCCTCTGCTACTCCGCTCCGGCCCCGCCGCGGGCCTCCTCGTTGTTCTCCTCATTTTCCAGCTCTACCGCCAGCCGGAACTCGTTCAGCCTCCCCAGCCCAAGTACCCACCGCACCACTATGGCAGCCTTCTCCACGTCATCCAGCCACTCCAGTAGCTCTGCGCCGTCATCTGGCCAGGGCTGGGACTTATCTGCGGCTCCGCTGCATTCGAGTACGAGGTGTTCGAATGTCTTGCGCGCCATACCGCAGCGGCATACTGGGCTAAAACTATATTATAGATTATAATACCTAACTCTATATAACGTATATTATCAACCAATGACCCATATCAACGAATGACCCAGCCCCCACAGCACTACATTAACTATCCCTAGAAATATTACAATAACACTAGGAAATAACTACAGTTACATCAGAAACAGCTGTATCAGTGGCTTCTGCACCCTCCTGGCAAGTGCGGGCATTACGGCCCAGGCTTGCGGCATCTACTACAGCACCGAACGTTCGTACGAGCCCCCCCCTGTACCACTACCATCCGGCTGCGTTTCCTGCACTACCCCCTTACCTACAGCCCTCTGGTCTAGTGGATCCTGTGCATCCTGTACAGTAAGTGACCCTCCAAGCTGCACACGTGTTTCTTTGGCCCTCCGTTGCTTGCTCAGTGCCTCGTTGGCCTTGCGGAGCGAAGAGACCTCTGACTGAAGGAGAGCCACCTGGTGCATTACAGCCGTTGTACCTTTGGTTAGCTGGTCAACAGCAGCCAACATTGAAGCTGGGGAGCTGTTTTGATGGCTAGCGATGTGAGTCTTGATAAGGGTTTGACTACGAGCTGGCTTCTTGGGGGTTGTGTGGGGTCTTAGAGACCCAAGGTTGTGCAGTGCCAGGCCCGGGTGTTTGGGGGTGTTGGTGTATGAAGCTTGACATGCAGCTTAGAAAGCACCCTCTCTGGATCGAATGGTACGATGCCGGCCCCTGCAAACCCACCCTGGATATTCTTCTCTGTCATGGAAGCAAAGAAGGCTTCGCGAAAGGCACCAAGGAACTCGAACTTGGTGATATGGTTGATGTGTGCGCGCATCAGCTCCTCGATCAGGCGACCGTATGCCTGTTTCAGTGGCCCGAAGCAGCCAACATCAAGTGGCTGGCACTTGTGGGAAGAGTGCGGGGGGATGCAGAGTGTGATGATCTTGTTGTCCCGGCAGTAGAGCTCGAACTCGGTGGAGTGGTGGCTTTCGTGGCCGTCGAGGATCAGCAACCGGTATACCCTTTGTCCGGGGCGCCGTATGGTAGTCAAGGTGCTTGATCCAGTCAAGGCCAACTGCATTGGTAGTCCAGTCATTGTCGGTAGTTGCGATGCGCCAGTCGAGTGGTAGATTGCACTCGCGGTACCAGTTGGCGAGGTGGTATTGCGCGGCCAGGATGATGAACGGAGGGATAGTCCAGCCAAGGGCGTTAACTCCCTGGGTTACGGTCGCCCACTCGCGGTTACCAGGCTGGGCTAGTTTAGCCTTGCTACGGCCGTCTGAGGTCGTAACTACCATACCCGCGAAGATGATGCCCATCATAAACCCAGTCTCGTCGAAGTTATAGACATCGTCATCGACAATCCCATATTTGGCCCTAGTGTTCTGTACAAGCGTAAACCACTCGCCAATGACCTTTGGATCTTTGCACTTGGCCCTCTGGTAGTCGTATCTACGCGTACGACGCGTACGGAGCTGTGGCTGGCGCTTGACAAAGTTGTGGGCCCAGAGCTTGCCGACAGGGGGCGCATCGCGTTCGCGGAGCAGGTGGTTGGGCCAAATCTTCAACACCACGCAGTCTAGGGGGAAATGCGCGCGCATCCAGTTCCAGTATATATTGAACTATCGTACGCTCTTCCAGGTCCGTAAGCTTACGCGAGTTGGCTGGTAAATCGCGTCGTGCAGACGGGCCAGTACGTCGGTGGCGAATCGTTGCTTCCGGAACGTTGTACAGTCTGGCTGCGGCCCGGATACTGAGACTTTTGTTCTTTCCGATGGCTTCAACGGCCATGCGAAGCCTGGCTTCTTTTGGGGGGCTACGCAGGGCTGGTTGTGGTAGGATCTGGTGGAACAGGAAGAGGAGACGCGTTGCGGGGAACAGGGCGTCGCTCGCTTATAATATACGTTACTATAATATAGGGTATATCTATACACTTTGCAGCTCTTGATGCAAAACGGGCCTTTCGAGCCGATTTTTAGCAAACCACAGCCAAACGAGTTTTGCAGGATCAGGTTTTCCAACCTTAAGCCGGCCGGCCCGTGCACGGCACTGCGACCTGGTTGGTGGGCATCTAAGTGGGAAATAGTAAAACCCGCTCCAATGGCTAGGTAGGATTACAGTGATAAATGTAGAGGTATGCCAAATATTATAGTGGTATAGACTACTATATCTTCCACTGTTACAGGGCTTAGGCCCTGTAACTTACTGCTGGTCGCTAAGAAATATTATTATTCCTACACCGCTATGCCCTGGGGCTCGCCGGTCCAATTATCTAGCTAGTTGTACAGGAAAACCGTCCTGGTTTCCTAGTCGGACTAAAAACCTGTACCGATGTTACCTTGGCCCGTCTCTTCAGAATTCGTCGTGCTATGGTTGAAGGGAGCCTACCCAGCTCCCTGCATTCCGACATCCTGACCGTCCACCTCCAAGGTATCCGCGGCCTCTGGAGTCGTAACCCCTAGGCCCCCCACCGTCTCCTCGGTCTCCGGTCAGATCCGTTATCAACCTTCCTCGCAAAGGTCAGCTTTCCTTGCCTCGAACTCCTTGCAGTCTCTCCTGGGCTATGAGAAAGACGGGGGTTCGGCCCCGTGGTCTCTTCCTTTTTCCCGCTTCTTGGAAGCCATCGTCGGCCTCCTCCAGGGTGGACGCACCCCGGAATGTCGGTAGTAGTCTCTCTTGCTGCTGTTGTGTTTGTTGCTGCAAAGCAAGCTCAAAGGTTCGAGGCCGGAAATGGTATGCCTCCCTCGCCGCACCCCGGGCCTTCACTGCTTCCGGGCACCACCGTACCCAGGCCGGGTGCCTCCCTAAACAGCACGGACAAAAGTATGGAATCTCGTTGCCGTGGGTTGGGCATTGGGCTTCCCCCGCCCTCCCGCCTCCCCCATGGGCCGCTGTGCCGCAGCGCGGGCACAGCGCAGACTTCTTGCAGAACCGTTGGGTGTGACCCCATTTCCAGCACCTATAGCACTGGGTAGCCTGCAGCGCAGACCAGTACGGCTCGCAGTTGAGCATCTAGGCCCGCCAAACCACTCCCTCCTCGCAGGCCCTCTTCAATTCTTCCTGACTGGTTATAGTAACCAGTGCCGTCGCTCTCGTGACTCCCTCGATCGTTGGAATTCGGAACTTGACTCGTTCCACCGACTGCAGCCCCAGCTGCTTGCCGAATGCCGCTTCTGTGACGTCCTTCAAGTCTCTCTTCAACATCCCTTTCACCAAAACCGCAAATGTCCGCTTTGCCTCTTTCGCCGCCTCTCCAAACGCCGTTCCGATCCATCCTCCGTTCTTCGCGTGCCATTCTTTCGCTTCAGCATCTTGAAAAGTGACGATAACATCCCCGCTAGGGAGCTTGCATGCTGCCACTGCTCCCTTCCTCTCGGAAACCCCGTTGACCGCCTGGACGATCTCTTGTGGAGACCTCCAGGTCAGCGACGGCTCTATAGATCCCCTCACCAGTATTTTCTTGTTGAGCCGCCCCGGTATGATTTTCTTCGGGAGCTCCCCTCCCCCAGCCACCACTGAAGCCCACGACCGGGCTACCGTTGTTGCTGGTGCAGGTGCTTGCTTCTTTCTCTGATCCTGCAGTTCCCTCCGGGCCTCTTGCAACTCCTTCTGGACCTCCTGCATCTGTTTTCTCACTTCCTCCATGGCCCTCCCTGTCCCTTGTCCGACACCGTCCACCACGGCGTCCACGATGCTTTCCTGAATCCTCGTAACGTCGATTCCCACGCTTCCCGTCTCTGGTGCCTTTCCGCTTTCCAGTCTACGCAGCCTCCGCAGCCGTGTCATGATCTCGTCGCCACTACTTGGGAGACCGCCTCGTTTGGTTCCTTGGCCAAGTGAACTATTGTCCCTGCAAGTACCTCGTCTGATTCGTCGTGTAGAGGGTTGGGGCCATTGTGAATGTCAATCCTTTCCATCTCTTCGTCGTTGTCCGTTGTGATTGGTTGAGCTTCCTTCAGTAGGTGGGGCAGGCTCCGCCCGTGCAGTATTTTTCGCAGTCCCGGGCGCGGTCTTGCCCTTTCCTTTGCGAGCCATCGCGACGAGGCGCGACAGATCCCGCGACGGGGAAACTACCGTCGGCGTTACCTAACATATACATACACTGGTTTCTAATCTATAATATAGTTTTACCTTTACGCTTACTATTAGTATATTGTGTTACTTAGCTAAGCTCAGACTTGCTATCTATAAATAATACTTATATTAAGTTTTACAATCATCTTTTTTCTCTTCTTTAACCTCTTATAAATTAAGCTTTATATTAAAAGAGAACTTTGAGACCAGACTCCAGCGACCCGACCTAGACGATGGTCAAGGCGGCAAGACCGCAGGGAGCGTTATTCTTACCGTCTGTAGCAAGATTCAGCAGAGACTACGCTTGAGAATCGGCAACAGGGGCCGGCCGCGAACTGTGGGAACTGCGGGAGCCCACGGCGGTGGGGAAAGCCGCGACGACGATCGCGCGCTGGACGGGGCGAATCGTAGATAGGAACAAGGTAGTAGAAGAGCCTGGAGGGCTAGGTGGTTAAAGGAACGGGACGGCAGAGCGATCGCCAGACCGGCGGACGACTTGACCATCAGCAGGAGACGCTATTCCGGAACGAAACCCGAAGGAGGCACGACGGTCTCCGCAAGGCAAAGAGCTCACTGCTGATTCAAATCCGGACGGGAGCAATAGGCTTACGGGACTTCTTGTTTACACGGGGGACTGGCTGATGGACTCGGGGAAGCTGCCAATGTACAGCTTAGCCAGGAGGCTCGAGCTGGAAGCGGCGGCCTGAAGCGCCCCCGTCCGGAGGCCAGGAGGCCTCCTCTCTTTGTATACGCATACTCACCAGAACGCATCGTTCCTTGATTGTTGGTATGGGTTTTTCACCCGGCCCGGGAAGGCACGGTTTTCCTGTACACAAAAATAGCAGAGGGTCCGGCACGCCCTAGGGCATAGCGGAGTATGAATAATAATATACTAAAAGAGATAGTAATAATTGTTTAAAATAGGGGGTCGAATACCAAGGAGGTGGTCGAACTGGCCTGGCAGGCCCGGTGGGAACAACAGAGAGCTAGTCAAACAAAGTACTACTCGACAGAGGGTATTAAACAGGAGGATAGCCGACGAAGACCCCCCAGTCCTCTTATTTACCGACAAAGCTCTGATGAGACACGAAGGTCTTACAAAGGCGCAGAGCTCCCTCCTTTCCCAGGCCCGTATCGGGGATATAGGCCTCCGGGACTACCTGTTCAGGGTGAAAAGTCCCGGAGGTCCGGTACCCCCTATTGCGAGTGCGGGAGAGGCAGGGAGACGGTGGAGCACTTGGTGGTTTGGTGCCCCGACCCGCCGTTACAAAGGCCGTGGGACGGCAGAGAGATTCGGTCACATCGGGACCTACAAACCCGTATTACGGGGAGTAGGTGCCCGGAGCAGAAGATTTGTTAGGAAGGTCCTTGGCTGGCTGATGGACTCTGGCCGGCTACTGGAGTATAGGCTGGCCAGAAGGCTGGAGCTAGAAACAGTGGATGGGGAGGGCTAGAGGGCCCGGAGGCCGGCAAAGGGCCTCCTTTCTTTTGCAGTATGACGGATTCATAGATTGTTGACTCAAAGTGGTAGACAGAGGTTTTTATCCGGCCTATACGGTACGGTTTCCTTTGTAAATAGCAATAGAAGGACCGGCGCGCCCCAGGGCATATCGGTGTAGGAAATAATAATAATAATAATATTTCTCTGAATAGAGTTTCGGCCCAAAACTCTCAAAACCAGCGTTGATCGAAAGCTCTCGCGAAGCCCTATCCAACCACGCCACGTGCACCGACACGCAACCTGCAGCGCGGCCGCAGTGGGCGTGGAAAGAATGACGATTCGGGACACGCAGTGTCACGGAAGTGGTCGTATGCAACGGCCATGCGGGACCCGCGCTGGGAGCGGTCTGAACCAATCATTAAATATGGAGCACCAGGCCAATAAGGAACGGATCATGCTGAGAGATTCGCGATCCAAGGGATCGCGGAATGGATAAGACGATCCCGCATGGATCGTCTAGAGGATAAGGCGATCCAGGAAACATAGGTACGAAGGGTACCCTATGGGCCCTAGATAGTATATAGCCACTCGTTCTGGAGAGCTCTGGGGAGTTCTCTAGTTAGCAATCACAGCTACAGTTCGCTACAAGATCGCAAGCCCTACTGCTGAGACAAGTCTTTGTTGTGCACCCTTTGGGCTGCACCGGAGCTAAGCACCCTTGAAAGATTACCTTCGACCGAAGCTGAACCCTAACAGGACGGGGTCCTGAGATAGGTTCGTCACACGCAGTCGCCTTGGAAACGGGGGAAAAATCTCCATCGCCGACGCACGGACCGACGAGCTGCCGACCCACCCATAGTTGCCCAGACGAGCACCCCCCTGAAGCCATGAGTGGAACAGGATGGCCGGCCCTCCTGCTCCAGTCCAAAGGGTGAGGAGTGGGCTAGAGCAGTCCCGGCACCTACCTCCCACCCCACCCCTCTCACCCCCGCCCTCCGACATAGAGGCTATCAAGAAGCTGGTTGACGAGCTGGTGGGACTGGCGGACCCAGAGAAGAAAGAGACAGCCAGGGGCATGGGGCAAGACCTGCTAGCGGCCATCCGGAAAATGTACGACGCGTCTCAGTCACCGACTGGAAACATCTCGCTGGCCAACCTCCGCAAGGTGGTGGCCGAGGAAGTGAAGGCAGCCGTTAATGGAGCCAGGGCAAAGGAACCTGGGCCAAAAGACCTGGGCCGCAGTGCCGCTCACAGGGCTGTCCCCCCTCAGTTACAACCCAACACCCCGACAAAGATAGTGCCGACCTGCATAAATAAGGAGATCCTAGTCAGAGGCAGAGGAATGCCAGCCGACCTCGCGAAGCGCACCCCGCAAGAAACCATCCAGGCGGTCAACCAAGTGTCAGTCAGGAAGCGAGCAGTCGCAGCCCGAAGGCTCCCCAGCGGCGACACAATCGTCACATTCCAGAGCGTAGGGGCAAGAGACTGGCACTCGACGAACACCAACTGGGTCAAGGAGGCTTTTGGAGAGCAGGCCGAAGAGAGCAAGCGAACCTTTGCAGTGCTGCTGAAAGGCGTATGGAAGAAGAACCTCCAAGGGGTCACCGAGGAGGAGTTCGGAAAGGAGACTGGCCTCCGCACAGTCGATAAAGTGAAGTTTAGAGTGCCGAGACACAGGGAGGCGACCCCGGGCAACGGTGCTGGTCGCTTTAACCTCCCAGGAGGAAGCACGCAAGGCGTGTGACGAGGGAGTGATCTGGAGGGCTCAGCTACTGGACTGCGAGCCTTACTGGGCTGCCCTCAGTCCAACACAGTGCTACAAGTGCTGGAAGTGGGGGCACACGCAGCACTATTGTAAGGCGACTCCATTGTGCCCGCGTTGCGGGACCAAGGCCCATGGAGAGGGCGGCAGGGAAGGCGAGGCCCAGTGCCCTACTCACAAAAACGAAATTCCGATACGGTGCCCGGCCTGCGGAGGAAGACATCCGGCGTGGTCAGGAGAGTGCCCGGAGAAGTCGAAGGTCCTCGCGAAGGCCAAGGAGGCCTACCAATTCCGACCACGG